GCAGTTAATGCGGTGTATTTGCAACAGGTGTGACCCATGACCAAGTCATGCAGTTCTCACTGAACGTTCTGCCATCTCTTACATGCACAAGTTTGACCTGGAGGAAGTGACTGCAGTGCCACTGTGAGTCATATCAGAGGCCCCCGAGTTCTCTCTCCTCACACCATACTTCAGATGTTCAGCCAACTGCAACCACACCCTTATGCTCACACGTTTTAAACCAGAAAAGCGAGATATCGCCACGTGCAAAACATGTTAGTGTTACAACAGCACTTAGGACTAATAGAGTTCTTTTTGATAACATAGTTTATTTTACCTCCTCAATATGCAACTTGGATTGCTAACGTATAAAGCTGAAATTAAATAGCACTGCAAGAAAGCACTGTTTTGTCATCTCTTCCTTTGTTTTGTGAGCAAGTATCATTGCTCCTGTGGTGTGACTTTCTGAATCAGGGAAATAACTATAAGGAGTTGCAAAACATTTGTTTTCCTATGGATATCTTTATCTACAACATGGAAACCCAGGTTTGCTGCTGCTGCTGCCACTGAAGAACTTAAAAGTATGTGGGTAGTGGCACTCCAGTTCAGGAGCAGAAGCCACTGTACATACTCCTACCCACCCAATGTACCCTGCCAGCTCAGTGTCCTGTTCCCATTCACTGTCCCACTTCATTCGTACTGCACTTCTTGTGGCAGGAAGAGCCTGGCCCCAATCTCTCATGTGAGACAACACTCAGTTTTGCTGGGGGAACTTCTAATGTGAATCTTGTCAAGGCATTGACGAAATAGCCTCTGAGGCAGGACTGTTAACCCCTGCAGCATCCTCATCTGATGAGAAACATCTTTTTGTCCTTTCAATACACTCCAGGAAACTCTCACATCTCTCATAGGATACTCAGAGGATGTTTTACCAAGTTTAATGACTTTAAACTCAAAGAGGGTAGCTTTAGATTAGATATTATGAAGAAATTCTTCACTGGGAGCATGGTGAGACACTGGCACAGGCTGCCCAAAGAAGCTGTGGCTGCCCCATCCCTGGAAGTGTTCAAGACCAGGCTGAATGGGACTTTGAGGAAGCTGCTTTAGTGGAAGGTGTTCCTAACCATAGCAGGTTTGAAACTACATGTTCTGTTGGTCCCTTCCAACACAAACCATTCTACGATTCTGCATTGTCCCCCTGAAGGATCTAAGAAAATTGGACAGGACTTTCTTAGTCCCTCCATATCTGTAGCTGCTATAATGCAGCTGTGGAGAACAGAAAGAGAAAAGATAAGTAGTTATTCTCCAGAAGGAATTCTCCATGGCAGCAATGATAAAAATGTTGCTTTTTCTTCTATTTTTGAAATCCATTCCCATGGTCTATCCTCAGTCTTTGGTGAACTTGAAGATAGTAAATTAGTTCATTCTTTCCCATTTGAGTAAGACTGCAGCTATCATGGGAGTAGGCGGGGGAGTTGCTGAAAATGTTCATACTTGCTTGGGGTATTGTTTGAGAATGTTGTTTGTGGTGAATCCACCAAGGATACCAAGGATTCTCCTCAGACAGGCAGTGAGAAAACAAGAAAATATGCATTATTTCTGTTTGGCAGTCTGGAGTTAACAAAACGAAGAGAACACACAAGCTTTTAGGGTGTCATAAGAAAGCTGTACTTCTGTGCAGTCTCTATGGCAAATTACAGCATTAAGTTTGGCTTGTTTTCCTTTTTACTCCAGGACCAATGTAACATGCCCTTGCAAATACACAGAATTCTTCAGTAACCCAAAGAGGCCTCTGGAAAAAAGAGGAGGCAAAATTTATAAATACCATAACTTATCTTTCCTTTTAGCAATAATTGTAAAAGACCAGATTATTTGACCAGATTATTTGACCAGATTATTTGATGCTTCTTTGCACTGGTTAAAAGTTCAGTGATTGAACAAAAGTGGGAGGAGGATGTTTTTTCTGTTCTGTGTCTTGATGCTGCAGCAACCAGGCTTTATTTCAAACCTGTACTCCCTCATCAATCACTGCAGCACCACCATGTCATGGGAAGCAGGGTGGTGACTTAATGAGAACTTTAGGGAGGAGAATAATCAGCACTGCAGCAGAAGTAGAGGAAAAATGCTGGGAAGTTAAATAGCACTTTATAGGTTCATCAATACACATTTGCAGAGGGCTGAATGGTCTGTAAGCTCTCCAGCACAGCTGCCCTTGTGAGCAATGGGAATTAAGCAAGTGGTTGGAGCCCAGGGTGAGGAAAAAGCTGAAGAGTATGGTCTGGATGAATGTACTGCTAGATGGATAAAACTGGATGGATTGCTGGGCAATTGAAGAGTAGGAATCAATGGGTTGATGTTTAGTTGGTGACCAGTACAAACAAAACAGTCTGGAGTCAATACTGGTGCCAGTAACTTGGATACAGGATGCACTTGCAGGAGATTTTCAGACAATACTAACTTAGAAGGGGTGGTTTTCAAAACAAACAGCGGAGGTTCAGTTGAGAGGCCTTTGAGAAACTTAAAACCCGGGTCAACAGAAACCTCATGAAGTTTAACGAGGAGTGCAGAGTGTGCAGATGGGGTTGGACAGTGCCAGGCACCAGTGCTCAGGGCAGCAGCAGCTGAAAAGCATGTGGCTGTCACAGCGGACACTCGGTTGGACATGAGCCAACAGGGTGTTTTCATTGCGAAGAAAGTGAACCATACACTGAGCTACATTAGGAAGGGAGCATGGACAGCAGATGAATAGAAATTATTATCCCTCTTTACTTAGTGCTAATGAGTCCACACCTGGGATAATATGTCCCGTTCAGGGCTCCCCAGTTCAAGAAGGATTTCAAGAAACAGGAGAGGGACGTGCAGAGGGCTGATGAGATGGTAAATGGCTTACAGCACATGACTTGTGAAGAGATGTTGAAGAAGTTGGGCTTGGTTTGCCTGGCAAAGAAGAAAATAAGGGGAGATCTGATAACGATCTAAAACTACCCGAAGGAGCGGCAAAGATCGTTTAGCTGGACTCTTGCCAACAATAGTGAATGGCAAAACAAGGAGCAAAAGTCTGAAGCCGAGTCCATGGAGTTGTGACTGATTGTGCACGGGTGCACCAGAATCTGTCAGACTTGGTTTACATCTTATTTTACTGGATCAGGCACCTTATTCATCTTTGCCAAAAACTGCACTTTTTCTGATACCATAGAATTGTCTTTCCCATTCTTACAAAACGGACTTTTCCCTTACTGAACATAGTTTGCACCCTTGCTGCTAGACCTGCACAATTTAATGGTTAAATTCAAGTAGGTCCTTACATACTCACCTTTCCAAAAGGCAACATAAATCCAGGCTTATAGCCCAGAACCACAATGACACATGAAGCAGAACTGCTGTAGCAGTATGACACAGCTAAGTGAATTCTCCATCAGATCAAATCTCTGTTGGCACAAGGATTTAGGCACGCAGGCAGCATCTCGGGTACTGGAGGCAATGTGGGGTTAACAGACAAATCTATTTCTGTGCCAGATTAATAAAGCACGTTAGCATATTAGATAATTCACAAGTGCAAATATATGTGTCTCAAACTTGAGTAATAACATTAGTCAATAAGCAGCAGATTTCAAATGTCAAGTACCTAGCATTATACCTTTTAAGAAACCAGACTTCAGGCAAAAAGCTAATGCCAAAGCTAAATTCTGGGATAAGAATGCCCATACACTGTTGGGCAAGGTATTTTCTGTAAAACACAAAGGAACCAAGGAATATGTATACTTCAGAATGACACACATTTGCAATGCAGTGTCATAGTCTTTTAAAATGACAAATCTAGTTTTATTTATAAAGGAAAAATAAATAACCCAATCACAAGTCTCTGACAGTAATCCAGTTGTTCATTGTGGGAAAGGATTATTTTTTGAAGACTACAGTGCAAAGTAGTATGTAAGTTTTATGTAAAGACTGAAGCCATAGCAACAGCCCATAGTCTGCCACACACTTGAATCTAACCCAGACAGAAGTGTTTCATAATGATATATTTGATAGACTAAATACATAATGGAGCAGCACATTTTTTGAATTAAAAAATAGATGAGATTTTCAAGTGTAAACAGCAGATAAACCAAAGAGTCAAATAAAAATGTAGGAAAAAATATATAAAAAGCCCCAAATACATATTTTAACCCCTCTAAAAGCAATTCTAACAGATTCTGTACCACCATGTCTTGCACGTAGACAGCATTAACAACACCATTAAAACATTCCTGTTGGCCTCTCCTCATTTTCTTTTCTCTCAAAGTACTTCTTACATATTCTTGAACAGTCTTCATTTATACTACTCCGTGCACTGCTAGAACATCAAGATTCTTCGATGATGAAAGTTTTGTATGGTGGCATAAAATCATTTTAGCCTGGATATATTCACTGCAAATAATCAAAACAATGAATTGCAGAATATATATCTCATTAGTCAGATTATTCAGAAAGATACGACCGAGGTGTGAATACTGGTCTGAAAAAATAATGTATTTCTGCAGCTTTTCTCCTAAGGGAGTAATATTTTTGAAACTTATTTATTACACAAATACGGTACCATACAGTGAAACTTTCGAGCTTCATTCTTAGGGTGGTTTAGCTGCATAAATTCAACGAAGAAGTAAACATAATTCAACGGCCGTTAAGATCTTGATACTGGCTGCTTTTATTGGACTATATCCTCTAACTCTCTGGGATGTAAATTTCCGGCGATAACCTGTGCAGCAATAAACTTCATTCAGCCACAAGAGTGTGCATGTGAGAGGATTGCAAATCTGCTCCGCCAAACCAGAATTAGCCGGTATCGCAGGAATGAAAGAGCGTGGAGATTTGAAATTGCAGGGAATGGAGACAAGGCGGTGCAGAAGACGAGCCGCCTGGGGGGCAGGGGGCCCCAGACCAGTGCCGCACTCCAATGGAAAATAAGCCCCGGGGCGGCGAGCAGGGGCGAGGCTGAGCGGGGCCGGGCGCAGGTGGACACCGCAGCCCGCAGCAGCTCTCGGGGCTCGGGCTGGGCTGACAGCGGGGGCTCGGCGCCGTGGCGGGCAGGGACGGCGGCGCTGGCGGAGCCCGGCGCGGTGAGTACCTCGGGAGGAGCCGGGAGCCGCCGCACCGCACCCGCACCGGCACCGGGACGGGAGCGGGCAGGGACCGCCTGCGGCAAAGGCGCGCAGGGCTGGGCCGGGCCGGGCCGGGCTGTCCCCGCACGGTGCAGCGCGGGCAGGGGCGCGGGGCTGCCCGGGGACTGCGGGGACCCCTGTGACTCGCGGCGGGCCGGGAGCACCGCTGCCGCAGCGGGGTAACTCGCGGTCATCCTTTGTGCTCCGCGGGCGGGCGGTGCCGCCGCCGCGCCGCCCTCCCGAACGCCGCCCCCGCCGCAGCCCCGCGGGCCGTGCCCGGGCCCCCGCCCTGCCCGCCACCGGCGCTGCTGCGCTGCCCCCGGAGCAGCCCCGGCGCGGGCAGGGGCGGCCGTGCTCGCCCCGGCGGTGTTTCGCGTAGGGGAACCTCACTGGAGTGCTGGGGGAAGGCTCAGCATGTGGAGCTCCCAAATCTGTTATCTTGGGGCGAAAAGTACATCCCCTGCCTTCGGGCTGCTCTCGTAACCCTGTACAAAACAAAGGTGCATGCCTGGTGAAAGCTGACCATTCCCTTGGCAAAAGCTGCCCGTTCCCTTAGGAGAAAAATGTTTTACTGCCTAAACCAATCCCCGCAGTCCCCGGGGACGTGGCACCACGCGTGGGTCGCACCGCGGCAGAACAGCACCGAGGGATCGCCCGGGGAGGTCAGAGCAGGGCTTGGGAAACAGCTCCCGGGAAGGGACAGCAGGGCAGCACCCCCAGTCTGGAAATGGAACCGCTACCGACTTTATGCAAACTTGTGACCCTGGCAGTTAGCCTTTTGAACATTTAATTTCCCCGATTTTGTGTTCTTTGCTGGACACACACTCCTGCCACTGTGGCTCGGTGTGGCCAGTGTTCGCATCTCCAGTGAAGTCGTTGACAGCTGAAGTGCTCGTGTTGGCTAGGTGAGGTCAGACTGCCAAAACATATGAAAACCAAAATAAACGATGTTTTTAACAATGTTTTTTCTGTATGCCTTCAGCAGACAAATAATTACATGTGGTATGTCTACTGGGAATATTGCAAAGCAAAACTCATTACTAGTTATAATACGTTTATGAGTTATCCATTGGAAGTGCCTCTAAAGTACGATTTTATTCTATAACTTTTAATACTGAGGCAGTCGCGTGCTAGAAGAGGTTGCCCAAGTATATGTCAATTATTCATCATACGGACTTGATATCAAGATCAGATGTTTTTCAGTGATCTAGTTCAACTACAGGCTAGAGAGCCATAGCTCCGCTGATGGTACAGGGAACTTGGGTGTTTTGCTGCTAACTATGGTCTTATTACAGCACCTGCATTTGCCCCTGAAATAGCTCATGAGTCAGATTTTCAAAAAAGCTCAGCATCTTTCCAGTCACTACTATCTGGGCCATTTTTCTGAGAGCTCTGCATACTTTGTGTGCATACAGTCCTAAAAGCTTTTCTGAAAAAAAAAAAATCTAGATCTTCTCCAGCTGACCAAACAGGAATCCAGATTCTCCTGCCTTTAAATGCAATTCCCTGTGAGGGGCTGTATTCAAACATTGTTACTGTGAATGGGTCTTCACTGCCTTGCTTACTGGGGAAACTGGCCTGCCTCTCTAGGATTTCATAATTACAAAGACTCCCTTGGTCTCCTCTGCCTTTCATGAGACTGTTTTTGGCTGTGCTGTGGTGTGGGAAGAAGGCTGAGGACAGGTAACTGCATTTCTCCTGGGCACAACAGGCCATGGGGCGATGAGTCAGTACTGGGAAGGTGATCCAGGCATCCATTCCTTGCTTTATCCAGAGCCTGAGAGTCTGTGCAGTTATTGGAGATGACTTGCCTGCTTTTGAGTGAATTCACTCTGAAATTGTGACGTTAGGGAAAAGTTAACAGTAAAACAGTAATAATAAGCAAGAATCTAGTTCAAAGGGAAAATATATGCATTTTCTGAAGATTTGTGGAGGTTGATGCAAGTATGACATTAACTTGCATCTACTCAATCTAAGCCCATTCTGTCAGCAAGACTGCAGAGATGAGTGTCATATCTTTGTAGCTCAATGTCAATTATTTTTGCTTCAAATAATTTAAAATAGGTAAAAGCTGTGTCAGTTTTCTGTCCAAAGAAGAAAATTTTTGTATCCAGTATCAGGATTCAGGTGTGTACAAAACCAGTCAAAAGCATAAAAGAGAAAGGTGAGGCCTCACATTTAATCCTGACTCTGAATTTTCAGTTACATAATTTTGTATTCCATTATCAAAGATGTACTGTAATATCCATCATACATTTTCATTAATCTTATGCAGAGCATGTATAATAGCTTGTGATTTTCCTTCATTCTGCTATTTCTCATGATTTCCCATTAGCATGATTATTCACTGTGTTTATCGCCTTTATGCAGTTAGTCTTCTCTCTTGTGAGTGGGCTGAATCCTCCATAGGTGGTCCTCTAAACTACAGCAACAGGGGATCTGGCTCCAAGTACATTGTTAGGAAAGAGTTGGGATGTCACCTTTAAGACCTACTCTTTGTAGAGGAAGGATGAGCTACGTTTGTAACTAAGGCTATCCCAGGCTGTTGTCTTATCATCAAAAAACAAGTCTGCACCCCCACATGGCTCTGCCTGGCTCCCCTGCTACCCTTCCTGCCTCAAACACGCTGCAGGACCTCTGGAAAGACCTCTAAGCACCATCCCCATTCTTCTTGTTTCTCAGTTTGGAAAGCAAAGCCTATAAGGCATTTCAGTACCTGTTTCCACTGGCAGCCAGGTGTGGACTCATCAATCGATCCCACTTTATCTGTCCATGCAGTGTTAAATGTACACAAGTTCTTGTTCTTCCTCCCTGTCACCAATACCTGCCATAGCCAAATTAGGGCTAGGGAGAACTTAGTCACTGAAGAGTATTTGTGAAAAATTTGATGCCAGGATTACAACATATTTTAGCTCCAGCTCACTGTATGAGGCAAATCAGTGTGCTCTTGGAGGAACCTACGTGTCCAAGCTGCCCTTAGTTACACATTATTGCCTGTAGTGCCAGGAAGGGTCAGGTGGCACTTGACTGCAAAGGTAACTTACCCAACAGCCAGGCTGGGGAGGTCACACATGTCAACAGGTGTTCACTGGTGTCTGTGAGAAAAACAGCTTTGACCAGTCAGCTCTGACTCCATCTGTGTATCGGCGTGGAATACTCCAGGGCCATCTCTCTGTGTTCATCTAGCAATCAGAAAAAAAGTAAAATCGTTTGGAAAGGTAGTACCTTGAGAAGCAAAATGCAGTCATGGATTTAAAGACAAATCTTCATTTGGTACAGAATCGGAGTTAGTCCATTCACTGCCCGTTTGCAGCAGTGAGGAGCTAGCCCAGAAAGACACCTTCTGAGGGCTCTCAGAATATATAAGGAGCTTTTTTAAACAATTTTTGATAACTTTCTTCTCTGTTTCAACTGTCGTGAAGCTGATGTTTCTTTTTATTTCTCTGGAGAAGGAAAGACAAAAAATTACCATCTCTGGTAAATTGTATCACTACATTTCTAGTCTCCATGGAAACCTATGTGGTGCTCCACAGTTGGGTAATATTTCAATCTGTTGCAGCAGAAATCAGATGGAGGGAAGGCTGGGTTCTGCACCTCGCATGTTAATCAATTAAAAACGGTCTTGAAATTATTTTCACATTGTGTTGCAATCTTTGTTTAGAGTAACAACAGAATAAATTGAAGTAATCAAATTATGCTAAGTATGGCTTGCTCCTATGTACACCTATACATAACTCTGCCTGTGGGTTTGATTCTGATAGGCACTGACATTCATTTGGAAGAATTCTTTGGTTTTGGTAGGATTATAAGGATTAATACTATGGAAACTGAAAGCATAATAGCAAACTGTTTGTCACATTGACTCTACTAAAAAGCTTGCCAGAGAGGTAGTAACAATCCCCTTGTTGTGATTTATGTAAGCAAAGCGTTTTCAAAATCAAGAACCGTAATTCTTTATCTTTTGCTGTCTTCATTCTTGTTCTGCCATTGCTAAGGAAGAAATACATCTGAAAACTGGTTTCCTCTGAAAAGATGGGGTAACTTCAACTACTTGCCTCTTGAGGATTTCATTTCTTTACTCAAAGCTTTATGAACTTGAACACAAAGGCGCAAAATCTTACTGGGACAGCAAAAGGTGATACAGTGAAGAAATATAGAGAGAGAGACCAGTCTTTTTTGGGACCACAGTCAACCCATGAAGAGTGAGTGCTCTCAGCCACCTGAAAGTAAGTAGAATCTATAGTAATGGAAATAATGCAGCCTACTCTTAGCCTGTAAATACTCCTGCATAGACAGCCATGATAATAAGGTACACAAAGAAATAAATTAATTGGACAATTTTCTAAGCATTTTACATTTGAACACTGAAATCACAATATTAACTTGAGAACTGCACTAAATAAAAGTGGCGAAATATGATAGGGATTTGTGGTATTCACTGTAGCCAAAATAAAAAGTCTGATATTTTTGTGTGTATTTTGTAGGTATTTACTGCATTTGTTTCAGAATACTGTGGAGAAAATGTATGCTAGTCGAGAGGATATTGGGTATGATTTTGGAGACAACTCAAAAGTTGGAAGTAAGCCAATTAAGCCTAATCCAAACATCGATGGAGGATGGGCTTGGATGATTGTATTTTCCTCTTTCCTTGTGCACATACTTATCATGGGTTCCCAAATGGCCCTTGGAGTACTCAACATGGAATGGCTTGAAGAGTTTAATCAGAGCCGTGGCTTAACAGCGTGGGTCAGCTCCCTCAGCATGGGCATTACACTTATTGTGGGTATGTTTTAGCATCAGTTACTTCAAAACTACACAGATTTTTAGAATATGTTTGCCATTCATCCCTAAAGTATTTTCTTAGTTTCCCATTTTATTAGCAGAGCTGACAAAGTTGTCCTGAGTTGCCTTTTTGAAGTCCCTAGGACGAGTTTTACAATTTAGATGGAAAAGGGAACAACAGGGAAGATGATAGGGATGTCAGTCCAGGAGACGGGATGAGCAGGAAAGGAAGCCTGTGACTTCAAGGTCTCACTACAATTAAGGAAACAGATGATCTGTGAAGCTTGTGGTCCTTTCTGTACTCTATCTAGGAGGAGAAAATGTTGAATTCAGTTTATATTTAAGTTTGGCAGCTGAATTAAAACTTACTTTTTAAGTTGTGGTTGGATCAATCCAAAATAATACCTGGAGGATATGGTTGCATGTATGTGTATATATACACCTATGGCTCCCTAAATGAAGACTGAAAAAGCTGTGTTTAGATCTGCCTAAAATATCCCACTGAAAACACAATAAAATGTTTACTTTCTAGTTATTTATGAAAAAGGCCTGCACTCACACAGCATCAGCACTGGGAACAGCAGTTTCAGCTTTTTCCTCTGTTTAAACTGTCTATCCTTCATGAGGCAACTCTGATTTTAGGTCTTGCAGGTATTTGCTAAGTATTTGATCAGTTGGTCATATTTTTCTTTGCATAATTTTAAGCAGTAATATGGAAAATAAACTGAATTGCACAAGTTGCCTGATGTTTTACATTTTATTTAAAGCATTAAAAAAGTCAATGTGAAAAATTGCTAGAGCAGAAGAATGAAATAAATAATTTGTCTTTTCTCTTTTTTTTTTCATGTTTTTTAACAGGTCCTTTTATTGGTTTATTCATCAGCATGTGTGGGTGCCGCCTGACAGCTATAATTGGAGGGATATTGAATGCCCTGGGTTGGATCCTGAGTGCCTATGCCTCCAGTGTGCACTACCTCTTCCTTACGTTTGGAGTGACAGCCGGTAAGAGCTGCACTAATGTTTGAAAGTTCAATTACTTTTGATTCCTTTGAAGGTTATCCGAGTGAGTCAAGAGGGAAGTTAGATTGTAAAGTTATTCCGGCTCTTCTTTCACAGTCTTTACAGCCTTTTATCTTTTTAGAAATCTTAATTATTTACTCAGTGGATTGGGCTTTTATCAGTTTTAGCCAAGTGAATATATTAGAGGACATTTTTAATTGGACAAATTAATGTAAGCCAAACTCTAACAAATGAAATTTAAAGATGTTAAAACACTGTTGAATTATATATATAGCTAACTCCTCTCTTTGTCACAGGACGAAACAGCAAAAGCAACTCCAGGAGTTGCTCCACGTTCATACAATACCGGATTATAATAACTATGTGCTGCTTTAAAACTAAAGGGTGAAGTGGGTTACATCTGGTAGGCAGATAAGCTTTGTACAGCACCTCTCTCACTCTTCCACAGTGAGATGGGAGAGAATCAGAAAGGTAAAAATGAGATAAATACAGTTTAGCAGGTAAAGCAAAAGCTGTGTGCGTAAGCAAAAGAAAAATAAGGAATCATCCACTACTTCCCATGGGCAGGCAGGTGTTTAACCATGTCCAGTAAAGGAGGGCTTGGTCACGTGTAGCTGTTACCTGGGAAGAAAAATGCCGGAGCTCCAAATGCCCTCTCTTTCTCCTTCTTTCCCCCAGTTTTATTACTGAGTACGACATGAAATGGTGTGGGATATTCCTTCAGCCAGTTGGGGTCCCCTATCCCACTGCATCCCCTCCCAGCTTCTTGTGCTCCCCCAGCCTGTTCACTGTTGGGGGGTGTGAGAAACAGGAAAGGCCTTGGTGCTTGTGCCCAGCAACAGCTAAAACATGCTGTGTTATCAGCTGTAGTTGGGCCTCAAATCCAAAACACGGACTGTGTGAGCTGCTAGGAAGAAAATCAACTCTATCCCAGCCTCAATTAGGATAATTTATGATGCTGGATTTCATACCTAATTTCTAATAAAGGATATTCACATTGTATCAGCAATCATGTATAGCAACAAATAGTGCTACACTTTTTTACAACCAAAATGACCGAAGTAATATTTTGTTATTTTAATTGAAATTAGATGTCTAGAAAACCTTTTGTCTTGTAAGACCCTGATCAAAATATGAAAAGGCATTTTTCTTCAAAATCAACAGATCCTTAGTGCCTGAATGCTCATGTTCTAGCAGTAATGTGTCTTGTGAAAAAATTTAGTTACTTTAAGTAAGTTATGTAGAATAGCCCAGTATTATCTGCTTAAAGCACTACTTCATTTTATTTACTGTTCATTTCTGCAAAGAGATACTATTAATAGATATGAAGCAGAAATGTGAAAGTTACTCAGGTAAGAAATATAAAATTTGGGCTTTACTTATCATCTGAGCAACACTGAGCAATCAAGGGGCTTTGAAATATTACTCACTCCACGGATAACATGGCCAGCTATGTTTGCAAATGAAGCACAGTGTCTGTATTATATGTGACAGATGGAAACGTCATGAAAAAAAGGAATTGTTTGTAATACTAATAATAGCTTCAGTACTCGGCATTCTCTTAAACCGTCCTTTCATAGAATTTCATAGAAAGCTACAGAATTTCTATACAGAAATTTTGATTTAGCCTTCTGGGTGGAGAAATATTAAAACTAGCAATGGTCACTGTGCTGACTCTTTATACCACCATACCATAGACTTCAGTAATGTAAATTCCTGAACAAAGAACAACGGCCACAGACAGGGTTTTGCCTTTTTCAGAATTTCTGTTTCTGTATATATTGAATATAATTGAGCAGGCAGGAATCTACATATTTTTCCCTCAGCCCTTGCTGCTTTTCAGGAAGAGCACACACAAAGTGACAAAGATTATATGGAAAAAATTCAGAAGCAAACTTTTATGTGAGGTGGAAAAATAAAATGGTGTTGCAGGAGTAATTCTGGCCAGAAAAGCAGTGCCTCAGATGTTCCTTCCAGCTCCATGAGACCTCCGTTCACTGTCCCCTGACTCACCATCTCCTTGACTCACCGGTCCCTGGCTCACCACCCCCTCACACATGGTTTCCTCACTCACCCCTCGCCTTGGGCTCTGCCCACTCAGTCCCATCCCCTTGCTCACGGTCACCTCATTCCCTGCCACCCCAGGGAAGTCTGTGCCATGTTCTCATGGCTGCTGTTCCCTTACAGTGACCGCCTCTTGCTGCCATCACTTCTGGGCCCCCGTGCTGTGCCTGTGGGCTTACTCATGGCTCCTGCCTTCTCACAGGATGTCCCTGTGACCCCGACCGTGTCTCCCTGTCCGCAGCCAGCCCTCTGCCTCAGCCCATCCCGGGGGGTTACCTCAGAGTGGTTCCCCTTCCCCAGCTCCTCACAGCCTGGTCCCCTCACCTCCTGGCCGACAGCTCCAGCCCCGCTCTGCTCTCCTCCCCTCAGCAGCAGCGTGGGGGCAGAGGAGCCTTCTCCCCTCACCCGTCCTGGAGCCGCTGGCACTGGCAGGCCCTGTGGGCTGGGGGCAGACTGTCCCCGAGGCCCTGCATGGCGGGGGCAGAGCCGAGCTGGCCCTGACGAATCTGTGAGGAAAAGGCAAGGAGAGACCTGCGGCCCCGTGTGTGCCTGTGAGGCAGGTACATGAGGCCTTCACTTGTAATCAGACTGTCTCTCGCTATGTAGCCCACAGAATGAAAAGATAACACCATTTTAAAATGCTGTATTCTTGGGGAAACACGGTGAGCGCTGGTGCAAGCAGGAGCTGATTCCTCACTGCAGCCAGCAGTGAGGGGCAGGAGAGCTCCAGGGCAGCCTGAGGAGCAGGAGGTCTCCAGGGGGGAAAAGAGGCTTCCCTGAACTCTGTGGCTGGGGAGGGGCATTTGTGCAAAATAAAAACCTGAATGTGTATTTGCCTAGCAAAGAAATAAATACTTCTAATAGGCAAAACGAGTCAGCACCGGTCATGGTCACTGCTGTGATGTTGAAGGGCTTTTTTTCAGGCTTTGCTGGAATCACTGTTCTTTCTCTCACCTAGCTGTAGCTAGGTCATGCTGTAGCTGCTTGCAGCTGTGTTATCACCTGTTTAGGAAAACTTTTAAACCCCAAAACACTCTTCTGAATTATGATCACATTGTATTGGGAAGCATCTTCTGCATACACCTGTACCAGTCCAAATTCCTCTGTGAGGAATAGGCTGTGAGAAAAAATGGGCAACTGTCTTCTTTAATGATGAGTTTGCACAGCTCTTAACACTTTCTGCTTGAAGTATATACCATGAATACCTTGTTTTTTAACTACAGGTGAGGAGGTTTCTACAAAATTAGAGATCTGCCTTTTAAGACTTAGCCTGTGCAGCTACTGTGTGGCCCTCCCTGGACTTCCTTGGAGTGCCCAAACAGAACCAGCCTGGAAGCCACCCAAGGTCCCCCCACCGTGCTAAGCCCTGGTGCTGACTCCTGAAACACATATCGTGGTCACTGCGGCACCACAGTTACAGAGCAAGGACAAAACCAGTGTGAATCTTCACTGCTGGTGAACTTAGGGGAAAGCAGCAAGATGTGCTCACTAAGCAGTTCGGGTCACTGATACAATCAGATGCAGGTATTGCAAATGCAGAATAGGGTGTGTCTGTGTTTGTCCTCACATTAACTGTCCCTGATTGGTTGTGGCACGTTTGTGCCCTTCCAGCAGTGTCATGCTGAACTGAGGTAAGGTTTTATCTTCCACGTGTTTAAGTTTCTCCAGCAGTTAAATATCTGTTTTGTATTCTCACTAGAATGAGTACTGAAAATGTTGGAAAACACTACAGGACAGAAATGAAAGCTGACATCAGAATTGAATATTAATTTTTATTATTGGTTTTACCAGTATGCTTGCATAAAAGTTAGGAATAAAACTGATCTGTTTTTCATTGCTTTTTACATTGTTGGCAAAAAGTTTAAATTTATTTAGGATTTTTTTTTTATTATTTTCATAGGCATTGGAAGTGGCATGGTTTATCTGCCTGCAGTGGTCATGGTGGGGCAGTATTTTCAGAAGAGAAGAGCGCTTGCACAAGGGCTCAGTACCACAGGAACAGGATTTGGAGCTTTCTTAATGACTGCCTTACTGAAGTACCTCTGCACTGAATTTGGGTGGAGAAATGCCATGTTCATCCAGGGTGCCATCTCTCTGAACCTTTGTGTCTGTGGGGCACTTATGAGACCTCTCTCCCCCAAAGACCTGAGTGAAAAATCTGTTGTGAGAAGTAATAGTGAAGATAATCAAGCAAAAGCTCTGTCCCATTCTACAGAGACTATAAAATCTAATGGAGTCCTCGGTGAAGAACCAGAGAAAAAAGAAGAGGCAACAAATGAAGGAGTGCTTGAGAGTGCTCAGCACATAGAAATCGGAGGTAGCTCTGGGAGCGGAAGGAATATGTATGGACTGCGCTTGCTTAAGACAGTGAGCCAGCTGACACTTACAGTCAGGAAGGGCTTTGCACTATGGTACTCCAGCTACTTTGGAGCTGCATCACTGTTTACCAATAGAGTATTTGTGGCCTTTATAATTTGGGCTTTGTTTGCCTATAGCAGCTTTGTCATTCCCTTTATTCATCTTCCAGAAATAGTCAAGCAGTACAACTTATCTAGGCAGGACAATGTATTTCCTTTGACATCCATTATAGCAATTGTTCATATTTTTGGTAAAGTGATCCTTGGAATCATCTCTGATCTCCCGTGCATCAGCACATGGAATGTCTTCCTTATGGCTAACTTTACCCTGGTCACCTGCATTCTTACTTTGCCACTAATACAAACATATGTCGGCCTGGCTGTGGTTTGTGCTCTAATAGGATTTTCCAGTGGCTATTTTTCTCTAATGCCTGTTGTGACTGAAGATTTAGTTGGAACTAAACACCTTGCAAATGCCTATGGCATCATCATTTGTGCCAATGGAATATCTGCATTGTTTGGACCACCCTTTGCAGGTAAAAAGTTCAAATTGCTAAACAACAGATGTTTGTATAATAACTGTATGACTCCTTCTCTTATTAAATTTTCTTATGTTATGAGCATGTGTAGTTAACAAAATCACAGCTACTCCAGAATGGACTATAACATTCAGCTTTAAATTGTACAAATTCACAGATCACATCTTCTGGGTACCAGCTCACACATTGCAAATTCCAGTTCTTGGAAATAACCCCAGATTTATTAAAATCTATGCTTTCAATGGTATGTTTCCCTAAAATAGTGTCATGCACTTTTTTTTCAACTAGAAAGGTGTAACCTGTTTTTCTGTTTTATGTAGTATATGCACTATACATACCCATTCCTCTACCACATGAAAAAAATGATGATTAGTTCCCAGGGCAGGCAGCTGTTTGTACCACAGTTATTACCCCCAAGAACTGTGGGGTGTGTTTGGGTGTCACCACTTAAAGCTGCCAGTGGATGTGTTGATGTAACTAACTTTGCCTTCCTTCAGCCAGAAATACTTACTCTGGGGACTGAAGTGCTCATAACCTCTTTACTGCCATTCACAGCAGAAGGCAGAAGTGTAATATGCATAGTACCCCTAGTTACTTAGGTTTGAACAGACATTCATTATGAATTTTCTCATAGAAAGAGGCAGGGGTGAAAGTGCAGAAGAGATAGGGGTCCTAATTGTCAGTACTGTACCAGACTAGAGCTCTCTTTTACAGGGATGTTGGTCAGAAGAAAGCAGAAAAAAACCTTGATAGTCTTGGCCATGGTCAGCCAGGGATGGCTGTGGGCTGAAGGGAAGCCACTGGCAGCATGAGCAGCCCAGAAAAGAGAGAACAGCTCCTCTGCCCACCTCTGAGTCAGAAGAAAGCTCACTCAGTGCCCTTTGAAAGCAGCAGTGTTTCACTCTGCCATATGTTCCCTCAGCACCTCTCAGTCTGTGCTGAGCGTGGCTCTGTATTTGGTCACTGGTTACGAAGCAAATAGGATGCAAGTGGTTGATGTAAAAAGAGCTGCTGATCCTGTGGTGTCATCGCAATGCAGCCAGCGTGACATGAGAGAATTTTGCTAGTTTGGGTTCTCAAACCTTTCTGAAATAACTTTAATGTGGTTTTGCAAAGGAATTGAGGTTGGAATGAGAGTCACTGCAGCACTGAGATTATATCTCTTCAAAACTCTTTTACTGGTATGTGAGTCTTTGAGGAAGCTATTGGGAATGTGTTTGCTTGCACAAGGCAGAGCATTTGAACTGGGCAGTGTTGGGGATTTCACAAAGGCAGTAGTAGGGTGGAAGAGCTGATTGGTTTGGGATTACAAAATGTCTATTTTAAATTCAGACCTGTGACAACTTGTTTGAAAATTGTTTGTTTCCACAAAACATCTATGGATTTGACTGAAATGTCATCAGAGAAATGTGAAGTATTTTTTGTATTTTCCCATGCAGTATACCTTGTTGTCAAGCTTTGTAACAAACATGTTTTGTCCTTATTTTCCAGGTTGGATCTATGACATCACACAAAAATACGATTTTTCTTTTTACATAGCTGGCTTGCTATACATGGTGGGAATAATATTTTTACTTATACAACCTTGTATTCAAAAGAAACAGCCAAGACAAAAATCTACAGAAGAAGCACAAGTATAGAACAAATTCCAGAAGTTTTTTTACAGAACTTTTTTGATTTCATGTTTCTATTGTGTGACAGTATGAAGACGTTTTTCTTATGAAACCAACCACATTAAGCTGTACTTAAGTGAAAAGCAAATGTGCTCCATAATGCTAATAAATTATGAGAAACATGCTTTTTAAAATAGTTAAGATCTCTTACTTTAGAAGTACCAAATACAGTGATTAAAAGCACGCTGCTAGTCTTTTAATATCAGCACAATGCTAGTAGCCTTTATCCTTGCTTCTCTTTCAACTTTTCACCACTAACCACTGGTGAGAATCCACTGACTGCAGTGCAGTTACTCCTGATTTACACGAGTCCTAGAGAGAATTTGGTCAGGACATGAATGATTTATAAAGGTCCCTCCTACTATGTGTTCAGTCTGATAGTTACAGAGTATAAGAAAATGATTGTATTTCTTGCCTGGCTAGTCAAGTACTGTTGAAATGCTAGCATAAGAACTCCATTAATTGAATGTTTTAAAATGACTATTTCTGTGATACAAAACTGAAGAAAAGTTCTTATATTTTTCTGAAGTGACTCATTTTGACTTGATGATCCTTGTGTGTCCCTTCCAGCTCAGAATATTCTGTGATTCTGTGATTCTACTTCAAGGATTTTTAATTTTATTTTTTTAAAGTATCAACTGCGTAATAAAGTGGCCATCCTCAACACACAGGCTGCATTATAAATGCTGTGACACTTAATGCACCTGAAGTAAAAAAATCATAAATGCAGAAACGAGAAACATATGGAAAATATTCTCGTGACTGGAAAATGATTCCAGGAACAGTCTGGGGTCTGTGGCCCCTTTACCTAATTAGAGGTACTGTAGAACTTCTTAACATTGCCACTGAGTCCTTCCATGGGAAAGGGCTCTAGTACAGCACACTAAATTCTGTTACAATTACTTTAATAACAAAAACTGTTACATTATGAGCAGTTGTGTTCCTGCTCATAGCATACACCATGAACTGAATAAGACTGGTCATGTTTGAGAAGTTTATTCACTAGAAGATAAGATGCTGCAGAGCACAGAAGAGCTAAAGAACATTTGAATTATTCAAATAAATTTTCTTAACATGAAGCACCTGGTAACCAATGCAGAAGGTGTTGTCTGGTGGGACAGGACATAATTTTCAGCTTTGAGAGGTGAATCTGACGTTAATTTTTCTATCAAAGAAAAGCCACTGTATGTTTTTATCCTCCTAGCTTTATGAAAGTTTTTTGCATGACAAATCAGGTTCTTAGTATAACACTGATATGTGCTGCTGGAATTCCTTAAAAAAAAATTGATACTATTCAATTATATCGAAGAACTATTAGACACAGTTGAGTTTGCAACACTACCGATCCTCTTTATAGCTGCAAAGTTGGCTGAGAAAAAGTTCTGAACCACTGTGTGTATTGTTCTATATTGCAATTCACCAGCTTCTTAGAGTTGCACTTCTACAACTGTTGGCAAGGGCATATTTTAAAATAGATCACTGAAATGAGCCAAAAAAAAAAACCTTAAGAAAACCCTGAACTACTTTAAGATTTAGATCGGTTCAATTATATAGTAGTTATGTATGGCCTTTAAAAGTCACATAAAACAACTGAGGTGGCACTGAACTGCAACACATGGTGTGAACACACAGTAACTTCTTAAAATCAGCTTTTTTTGTTGGAGAAGATGTTCACATAAACTTTCACATCAGTTCTTTGTTACAGGTTTAATGTCTTCTTGTTGTGAATGCTGCTGATAGCTTATTTTAACTGAGCTATCTTTTATCTGTGAAATATATATATTGAAGTGATGATTTCCCTTATTTGCCTTTTTTTTCCTTTTTGAAAGGTATGTACTCTTCATACATAGATCTTCACCTTGTCTTTTGTCAAAAGTAACTTTATTTGCATATTACAGTAATAAATAATATGCTGTTCACTTGTGATATCTGCATTATATCTTTCTATGGGCCGTATGTTGGGAATAAAGTTACATTACCCAAAAATACACTTTCTGTTCATTTATTAATTCAGTTAGGACAGTGTTTTATCCACATAATGAAATTTGTATTTGTCATTATCCTAAAATGAAAGAATCACAAAGAAGAAAGGATATATATGTGTTTCTTCTAAGATCAATGATCACCAAATGCTTCCAGAATATTGATATATACATACATACATATATACACTCTTAAGGAACCATAGTAACAGTCTTGAAAGACAGCAAATATCTCTTATCAAATATGCAACTTGAACAATGGAAGTAAATTAGTTCCTGCATCAGCAGGATGAAGGAAACACGTTTCCCATTTGCCATCCTGGCAGAGTGCCTCTAACATGGTGTTCAAGGATTGTCCAAGATGAGGATGATCATCTGATCCACACCCTCAAAGAAGTTTCTTCTTGGTGACAAAATTATTATTTGCTTGAAGTTTAGATAATTAATTTAAAAAACATTTCAACACACATCAAACTCTGGAAACCAGCTCCATGTTATTGGCCTGTAAACACTGCAGATTTACTGTGGGGGACAGTAAAAGGCCCAGCGCTCAAGAGCAATTTTTCTAGCACGAAGTGATAGATGCTTCTGTAAGGGTACTAATGACATTGCCACAGCATCTGCTATAAGCCAGGGAGTGGATAGCAGATATACAAACCAGACAAGTCAGAATGAAGAAGTACAAAGAAGCCACAACCATTTATATTACTAGTAACTGCTATGATGCTGATTGTAACACAGTTTCAGGATGCCCAACATATTAAAGATTGTATTGTTTACATGTTGCTCCTAGTAAGACATATTTTGGTTTTCCTCTTTCAATCCTTAAAGAAATCTGCTTTCCTCAGTAAAGAAGTCCATGTGTTTGACCCGATAAACAGCAAACCCACACCTTACAACAATTGCTTCAGTGAAAAATGAACCTTTATTCAGTTATTTGTTCTGAACATCTTGTTTCTGCCTCCTCCTTCAGAGCTGTAGCTGCAGTGGACATCTGTGTGCAGAGAATGGTTTCCAGCCCACTTCCTATGCCAGCTCCTTCATTTCAGGTGTGATTGTGTCACACAAGTTCTCCACAATAGTTTCCCACTGTCACACAGGTAGTTGTAAGAGAAAGTAGAGGGTTAGAAATCATAATTTGGCTTACTCGTTGGTGATTATTCTACTACACAGAATGTGTTTAGACAGCACAGAGGCCTTGTATCAAGGTCACTTGCAGCGTGAGCTGCCCACGTATCTTGAAAGACACAGCTTTAGTTAAAATTCACAAGATATCAGTGGAAGTTTTGCCCAGAGTTGCCAGTGCAAGGTATCCCATGTTGTTCTGTGAAATATCTGAGAAGCTTCTTCTGGTATGATATCAAAGGCCTTTCTGCCACACTAAAAGCAGCTGTAATGCCATAATCTCCTGGTATGTGATTCATACACCTGCTCTGAAATCAACCGAGCTGGGTAAGTTGATGCCAAAAGACTTGTCAGGATGTAGAAATCACATCAGAAATACAAATCTGTTTTCAAGGACGTAAGAGAAGCCTTGGGCTTACAACAGAAATGCAATTTTAGGCAACTTTCAGAAGTACTGTAAGGATTAAGCCTGTTTGTCAGGAGGTGCTTCTCTCTTTCAGAATGACTCCATAAAAAAATCAGGTAAAAATATTATAAAGAGGAAGCAAAAATGATGTAATTTATTAGATGACAGAACTATCACCAAAAAAAAAATTAGGAAGATACTCTGTGTCATTATGTATTATCTACCCATTGTAAGTAATACAAGAGCACAGCAACACTGATTTTTCCCCAAACGTTCCACTTCTCTACATGTGCAATTGCAGGGACCTAAGTGCAGTTGTACTCGATGACTCCAATTCAAGTGGCTGGTAAGTGGTAACAGAAATAGAACAGCAAAAGTCCTGGTATAACTTGTGTTACTGCTGATGGAGCTGAATACCTTAAACTGTTTAATTCACTGCCTACAGCAAAGCTGTCACTGTACGTGTGAACTGTTTGTTCTTGTGCAGGCACACACAACATCCTAGCACGTTTTAGCAAAGGAAAAGCAGGGATCATTGAGGCAAAGTTGCTGTAGGAGTGCTGAAATGAAAATATACACCTTTTAAAAGTTTTCTTTGAATTTCTGCTTTCTCTCTACCTCTCCCCCATTCAGCTTTTCCCATGAGAAATGGACACCGTGAAGTTAAAAATAGCAGAGGCTGGTTTTTATTATCAAATGTTTTTATTTCCAAACACAGTGTTCTGTTAAAAAGAAAATTAAAAATAAATCTAGGGAGCAGAGCGCGGCCGCTCCCGCCGTTCCCGCGGCTCTTCCCCGTTCCCGGTGACTCCGGCCGTGCCCCGGGGGCCCGGCGCCCTCTGGCGGCGGAACGTCCCCGCAGCACCGGGAATTCTGGAAGAGGCTCGTCCCAAAACAACCGAAACGAGTCCCGCCCTGCCCTTGTGCCGGGACAAAAATATAAAATCCGAATACGATATTTTATAATTCCACAGAGAGCAGCATTCCAGCCTACACGTGAATTATTTTGGAAATGAAAACTCATATTATTGGGGCAAATTTTTAATTCCATAAAAATACTTCTGAAATGAGAGAAAGAGAACCTACTAGTTCTAGTAGGTTATTTCATTGTCCCAAAATTTTATCTTTGTTATCATGCAACTAAATTCTTTCTAGGATTTCCTTAAATTCCAGAATATCCAAGGCTTTATGTTAAACTAATGAAAAGTTTATTGCCCTGCACAGTACTTCATCCTGCTCCACTCACAGTCTGCAAAATGCCAGATGAATTCCAGATATACTAACAAATAATTTCCTGACCTCTCTTCTATCCATTCTCTTCCTCTCCTTTAGTTGTTTTTATTCCCTTATTCTCTAACCAGTTGTTTCCCAGTCACAATATCGACTGTTTTATCTGCAAACTGAAATAAAGCCCAGAACTCAGCAAGCTTATCTACTCCCATCTGGCCTTCATCTCTAAATTAATGACATGCTCTATTTTCCTGACTTGCCATGTTCTCCTGTGCTTTCTTTGTACTGTCTCCTATTTCTTGTGCTCACTTGAACTCTGTCTTGCTGAAGCATCTGTAACACCTTTGCAGCACAGCCACGTCCTCTGGGACTGCCAGCAGTCTGACACACAACTTGAAATGTTGACCCACGTAGCCTCAAAATAATAGAAACCCTGGGAGCAATCTCATCCTGATACAGTTTGGAGATGTGCTCTGTACCAGACACATCCTCTCTCCACACTACACGGTTAATCTGTGTCTCTGAAGTCTTTCAGAGTGTATCTAGTTGTCACAGCAGACTCAAGACAACTAAACCTGGGTTTAACTTTTTCATAAGGTCTCACCATTATGTTTTCATTAACTGCTCAACTCATAACTTGACAGGCTTCACTCTAGGCTCCTACAGCACCCTTGGGGATAAGAAGTTATTTTTCCCTTTAAAACATTTCTCTTCCTGTTTTTCATAAGCTAAAATCTTTTTCTCCCCCTACTGGAGTTATTGCAGCAGCCTTTTCTCAGGCTCTGACTGGGATAGAAAATACAGTTTTGAGGTATTCAGACCCACAAAAATAAGATTCCTAGATCATAGCTCTGAACACATTATCTTTCTATCCCAATTTCCTGACCCTGCACAGACCAGGAAGCTGGAACAGATGACCTTTCAAAGGCCTTTCCAATATGACTTTTCTGAGTGAAGGACTTTTCAATATGAGGGACAGATTGCCCCTCATTCTTCTGCAATGTCCAGGCTACCCTTCCAATTCATTACCCCTCATTCAGCACAGGCAGGCTGCTCTGAGCTCCAGGCAGCCAATAGTGGTGACTTCTGTTATTCTCTCTTTAAAGTTTAAATTCAACATGTTCATACTATTTCCCATGCTTTCCTGATAGCTGGAAAGAGCTTCCTAGCAAGCAAGCATAAAGTCATCTCTTTCTCCTCCTGTGTTTCTTACAGTTTCTTGCAGTAAAGTCTAACAAAAAAAAAGAAAAAGAAAAAAAAAGAAAAAATGTCTTTCCTTGTGCTCCTGTCTTTTGTCACAGATGTAAATGTAAGGAATGGCAGTGACTTTTTGTTTGCTAATGAGCCTAACATAAGGGGATCCCAGGCTGTGGCTGAAGTTTCTAAACATTACAATAATACGAATCATAACACAAAGCAAAGGTTTTACATTTCCAGTACTTAATCCTGGAAGTAGGGCATAACATCCAGCCACGGGTGGCAATGGAATTGTCTGCATCACTATTTATTATAAAATAAAAGTTTGCAGGATAAGCACTGTTTCTCTAAGATCTAGCTCAATGAAGAGACAACCCTTACTTTACTTGTCTTAAGTAAAGCAGACAGATTGACGATTATGTTAAACCAATGAGATGAATCAAAACCAACATGCCAAAATTTTTACTGTTTCAGACCTGTGTGAAACTTGAGAAAGTCTGGCAATATCTTCAAGCTCCAGAAAGGAAATGATGTACAGGAGCAATGGGACAGGAAGCCGTTCCAGGAAGTCCTACTTATCTCGCCACAGATTCCAGAACTTTGGCACCAAACAGTACAGGGAAAAAAAATGAAACCAAACCCAAGTGACAGACTTGTAAAAGCCTAAAATTTCTTATCAATAATCTCAAGTTATTCACATACATCTCTAAAAAAAAACCCAAAACCAACACCAACAGTCAGCTTATTTTTTTTTTTAATGTTTTCTAGAGAAAATAACATTTAACATGAACATCCAGAACCATTTTTGGATCCACTTTTCCACATGCATATAGATCTTTTTACATAATGACTGTGCTAATTACTCAGTATATGACATTTTTTGGCTCATTCCTTTATAATCTAATACACCAAATTCTCTCTTTGTAGGTTTCCTACTTAGTGAGCTACTTCCCATCGTGCAGTCATACAGTCAATTATTTCTGCTTCTGTGTCCCACTTGGAACTTGGTCTTTTGTGTTTAACACTATTTCTTCAGATCACTTATCTATTTTATCAAATTGCTGTAATAAAATTACTAGTTCATTATAAAACAGAATCCCGAATTCAATTTGCTACACGTCTAATGAAGATTTTGATTTCCTAAGATCTAACAAAATGAATGCAGTCATCCAGATTAGTACAGGACTTTTTTTGCCTTTTCATACGCAATCAAAATTTAAAGCAGAATTAGTATTTTTTATATTTGGAAATTTTTTCTAATACATCCAAAGTGGTGTCTTTTTATTGCTTTTTTGTTTGTTGGTTGGTTTGTTTTTGTTTTAGCTAACTAGAATCTATCTTCTCATGTACATTAGAGTGATACAAAGAGAGAAACAGAACCATGGAAATTGAAACTATACTAACTACAGGCCAATTTTGATGCAGCCATTTTCCTTCCAAAGTATTTTATAAATTAGTTACAAAATTCAAGCTTACGTGGCTACATTTGAAAGAGCTTTGAAAATTACATGATTTCACTGCTAAGATGTTAAGACACTTTCCTTCTTTTTTCCTTCCAAATATTCCTAAGGTAGCTATGGAGAAGGAAGCTAATGCCTTATCTTCCTTCGTGTCTTTGGGTAGGTGGCCCAATATTATGCAAGCTTTCATTTCCGTGCTGCAAGTGCAGTTTGCTGTCAGTTCTCCTTTGCTTTTTTGCTTTCCAAGCATGTCAGTTCTATATGGTTGGTAATTTTCCTCAAATTCCTTATGCAAGTACAAAATGATCTACACAGTCAACTAAAAATGGTTGGGCTGATTAATTCAGGCTGGTATGTAAGGATGATCAAAATCTTCACATACTGGGAATGATGATGATGGTGAAATACACTGAGCAGGTATTTCATGTTGAAGATTAAGCAGGCTACCACATGAATATCTGAGTTTTTCTTTAAAATTATTTATTTCTAGAAATAATAATGTGATCTGTTTTGGCTGTTTTAAAATATATTTAGCTGTGTTTATTTTGCTTTATTAATGTATCTGCAGCTAATGATGAACTAACTGTGAAAATCTATTGAACTTCAAGTTTTCTATGAAAATTTCATCCTGTGAGTGCTGGAGACTATTTGATGACTTGTACTATTTGTTCACTCATCCAGAAATATAAGTAGACCTCTCTTCTCTTGCTCGACACTATCATCAATTTATTTTCCATCACTGGAAAACCATATATAAAACCTTGCTCTACCCTCTTGGCTTGATGGAGATTACGAAAAGAAACTAATGATAAGTTATTTCACTGTCCAAAAAGAACAGAAAACATTTCAAATCAAACACAGATGTTTATAGGTGTATGGTAGTTACTATAAAACCATGAAAACAGATAAAATCTTAGGAATGAAAACTAGGAGATAAGAACAGGAAATACCAATACTTAACAGGAAAACATTTTGGTGGCTGGGGTATGTACCAAATATTTAGCAGCAAACCATGGGGATGATGATGAGTTTTTTCTTTGAACTCATTTGGCAAAAAAATCAGTAAGGATAACTAGAATATTATTCCAGAACATATATATATATATATATATGTATATATATATAATTCCTATATATATATTTGTGGAGAATTAAGAGAAAAAATGATAATTTGTGAATACTTAGGAGCAGCAAAGCTCCCTTTAACAGGAGGTGAGGAGGTGTAAAAACATCTGATTGTGTGGAACAGCAAGAGCTATGGACAGAAATAGTGTCAGGATAACAATACAATTTCTCACAAACATAGTAATTTATTCTCATAATACTTCTATTTATATTAGCACTTTTCTGAAAACAAAGCACTTTTATCTTATATGATAATTTTAATAAAAAATTGAGGGGAAACTCCCAAATTTTGAGATGATTTTAGAAGGAAGAAATGATCAAATGTTAGAAAAGAATGGCAATTGTGGCTTTCAATACTTCCTATGGGATAGGAAGCCTCTGAACTACCAGCAATACTTTTCAAGAAAAAGCAGGCAGATCTTATTTGTAACCTACTGAAAACACACAGAGTAATAGTAGAAAACTGCATGTTAACAGTAATGTAATCATTTGAATCACTGTTCCCAGGTAATGTAAAACAGATGTTTTATTGTGACATCATATTAATATCAAATGCTGCAGGAAAATGTTACACTATAAGCAATGGAAAAAAACCCCACTAAAATCCTTCTCACTAACATATATTCACATGTCAAATCTACTTTTATGAGGTAAATAAAATAAACCCACCAGCGGTAAACAAAAAAGTATAGAAAAATACTTCTTTGAAAGCTCAAGTTTATAAAAATTGATGATCAATTTTGCCACAAATTAAAATGTGGTACAACTCTGCTTCAACTAACAGAGCAATTATGAATGTCTACTGCAAAAACCCAGCATATTTAAAGACACCCTGAGCCAAATCCAACAGGCAGTCCATTTTCTATTGGTTCAGGATACATTCATTCCCCTTCTAGTCAAAACAAGCAGTAATAACTGGAATTAAAGATTGGTTTTGTCATGGACTGTGAGTGCTGATTGAGACTTTTTCCATGGTTTGTGCACATATGCAGTCACTTGAGGTTAGAAGGTGTGCTGTGTCCATCCCTGAACACCAACAGTGCTCACCTGCAGCCTCCCACCCACCGGCCTAAGGAAGTGTCACTGTTTCTGTCAGATCACTTGATATCGATCAGCTGCAAAAGTTATAGAGGGAATGAGAAACACAAACCGAAGAACACAAACCTAAACATAGAAGTGCAGACCACGCTAAATCACCAGGGCTAAAAATCTCTGGATTGTGCCGTAGGAAGTGTTAGATTTTAATAAGCAAAGCATAGGGAACATGTTGGTCTTATCCGAGATCATAAATGAAGATACAGTCAAGTTTATTCTTGAAAAGAGATATATAATGTTACCCTCTTCCCTACCACCATACCACTTACCCAAGATTCATATACTCCTTGGGAAAGCAGACCAGGAGTAAATAACTCCTCCACCCAGGAGTAAATAACCATGGGATCCTAGAATCATCAAGGCTGGAAGAGACCCTCAAGATCATGTAGTCCAACCATCAACCCAGCACCACCATAACCACCCCTGTCACATCCAGACACCTCTTGAACACTTCCAGAGACAGTGACTCCAGCACCTCCCTGGGCAACTTACTCAGATAAGATGATGATTCAATAAGATGATGTCTACTGAAAACTGTTGATGAGAAAAACAGGACTTCATTTGAAAATGACACCTTTCAAGTTCATAATAAAAATAGGATAAATATGAAGTCACATCTGTAACTAATTTTTTTCAATATCTGTACACAAACAGAATACAAGAGCAGTTTATTTAAAAAAGAATAAAATCTCCCCAATCCAAGGTGTCCTGTCAGGTCTCTTGGGCTACAAAAGCCTCAGATCTCAACTGCAGTCCCTGCAGGTGCAGTTATGAACTTCTCCATTTCCAGACTAGGTCATAGCCCACCTCATCTATTCCCTCCAGTTAGTGAATTAATGTGTCTTTGGCTTAGTATTTTCAGGATACGTTCCTCTGTGAGCCATGATCAGGATCCACCGTATCTTGTGACATGACCATCTCTTAAAGTTAATCCATTACTGAGAACGCAGATTATAGGAAGATGCAAAGCAATAACTACTTGGGACACACAGTTCCACAGAATTTTGGGGAAATGCATCATTATTTTGGATGTTCTCAGTGGCCAGTCTACCTTTGAGGTTTATTTAGTGATGTCTTTCTGGCTGCAGCTCCTGAAGTCATGTTGCACTTGCATAGTCCCAATTACCTGCAGCATTTGTGGTTACTTGTGTTAAATCAGATTGGGGATCCAGGTGGCCATAAAAACAAATGGGCTGCCACAGAGCATTATGAGTTATTAGCCATAAAAATATTGCTTCCTGGCCTATTTTTGTTGGTAAAATCTCTGTCATTGTCTTATAATGAAACTATCAGTGTTGCTGGGTTTTATAATATATTTAGGTTTACTGTCACAGCTTTTTGTTTTTTCCTGTATTCATACATTAATTTATATTAATAAATTCATAGGAAAAAAGTCTATTAGCCAAAGCAATCACATCTTTCAGGAAGTTATTACAGACCAATATTGCTATGTTATTCCATTATATGCCACCACAAATTTGTAATTTTTATTATCATCTCCTATGAAGAGATGAATCATCAAAAAAATCCTCCTGGGATTCTTTAATTTCTCCAGGTCTTAACTGATGAAATTCACTCCTAAGTGACCACAATTGTGGAAGAAGAAAAAGAAAAAAAGCAGAAGAAATGAGTATCAAGTACCATGAGATAAATACTCAGATTCAGGTGTCAGATTGTGGAAATATTACTACAGTCCCAAAACAAAGTTATTGTAAGAGATCAGACCATGGTTACTTTACCAGCAGCCCTAAAACATGCTTCAAAGGACAATAAACATCCCAGAATGCACCTAGAACAAGTGTGAAATGTTTTTACATACAAAGAAAACATTCCCAACCCCTGCATGCAAATTGTTTGTAGAAATAAACACACATTTAAAGACATCTCAACTGGCAAAACTATAAACATTCTGGTTTTGTTTTTCATTTAGTCACAGAAACACAATTTAACCACATAATTTAATGCCTGATAAGTAGAAATACTCATTCAACTGCTCAGGCATTCAAAAGTGGCAGTGTTGGAAGTTACACTGTGATTTTAACGTTTTGTTAAAATCAAAATTAATAGGACAGTTCAAAGGCTCAGCACTTAAGACTGTCTGAACACTCTGGAAAAGGCACTCCAGAAGTACATGTTCAACTCACATTTTCAGAGACAGAAAAAGAAAATCTGCATTACAAAGCATGCAACTGAGACAAAAAATTACTATGAATAGTAAATTAGGTAGCTATGAAATGCTGGAGAATAAGTGGCCCTGACTATCAGTAATTTTCCCAGAGTTCTCTTAAAACATTACCTGTGTGCTTAAACAGCGTGTCAGCTTTTAATATTGACTTTCTTTTTGTTGCTGTCACAGCTGGGTCTACAGGAGAGGAAAGTCATAATCACGTTTCTCCCTTCATGCTAGTAAAGATCACACTCCAAGCCACAAGTAAGATTCACTTGCTATTGTAGGCAAGGTTAAAAGAACATATATTCTAGTCTTACTAATATTAATATGGTTTATTTCCTTCCAGTTCATTGAGAAAAGTGAGGGGTTTACACTGTCATATCTATAGGTGGATTCCTGATACGAGTGATACAACTGACAAATGAGAATACTAGTGAGGTGAACACACACACACATATGTTTTATATAAACACTTATGTGTTTTATATGTGTATATAAAAAACAAACTCCACAGAGCTTTATTTTTTCTACTGGCATGTTGAAAAGGAAAACTGAAAGCAAGCCTTGAGTTAACAGTCAATACTCACATATACTGACTGAAGAACAGAGTTAAATTTATCATTACAAATCAGATCTGACAACAGTGTTTACATCTCTCAACATCGAATTTAACTTTAGATCTCTCTGGTATTTCAGTGATAAAATGTAGATTTTAAAGTTGAGAATTAAGTATTTGTAACTCCCAAAGAGTTGCATTCACTTTCATCACTAATTTTCAAATTAAAGCTCAGATTCCAGATGATCTGCTAAGACACCAGTCATTTCTGTATTTTTCAAGTCTTTCTTTTACTTTGTTAATCTCTTAGCTATAGCAACAGTAAACAAGTTTGAATAAAGGCTTAACATCTACATTTGAATGTCAAATATAGACAGCTAAAATTTATCATTTTGATGGCTGTTGTGGCTAATACATCATTATAGGGGGTAATCAGAATGCTAAATCATATTTCTGATTGCATACATACAGAATAGCTTCAATTACAGCTCAGACATATCTGTAATACTCTGTACCCTTATTATGTGAATAAATGAAAAAAACATCCTACTCAGTTACGTAAGTTCATCCTATTTTACAATACACACACAATCTTTATTCCTTTGCAGTGAAACAGTTGCCTCTTTGAAGGCAAAAAATATTCATCCAATCTGCATTTTAGAATTTAATATACGAAAAGTAAACCACACCACTGAAACATTTGATCATGGCAGAATTAACAGTTCTGCAATGTACATGCACAATATAGATTACCATGTTGCTAAAATAACCCCGTTTCATATACTAGTGGTAACATGAGGATTCAATGCAGAAGTGATTGTAAAGCCCTTGTCATTCTGTTCCAGAGACGATTTTAGTGCCTGGGAAGGCTTTAGAACTGGTATGTTTGCAGCCCACCACGGGGATAATAGGACACTGAATGCTGTACTGTACTTCCAAAAGCTCTTTTTATCTCTGGCAGTGTAGGGAGAATCAGCATGTAGGGCTACTGCCATTCTTATTTGTGGAAAACACGAGGTGAGAGTAAGGTCAGAACAAAACTGATATGCAAATAGAGAAAGAAAAGACATCTTTGTAACACGTTCCTCAGCTTGCACACCCTTCAACATGGTATGCAAGAATACAGTATCCTATGGGGAAAAACCCCATTGTTAAAGGAGAAAAGGAACATGGTTAATAGGCTTTCTCTGGGCTTTTTCATGTTACTGTTGGAAGTGACATTTATTAGAAAAAAACCCCAAAACACCCAAACCAAAAATCCCCATTTCTCAGCATGAAAATGCCAAGTGTTACTGAAAAAGAAAATAGTTCTACCTGTCCCCAAAACCACTTGCCAAAAATGATTAACAGCTATTGCTTTCTAACTTTTGAACAATATTCTACAGATTAAATCTATAAGGTTGTACAGAAAATGAACACACAAGTCTAATTCTTAAAAAAGCAGAAATATATTGCACCACAAATTACAATGTGTAAATTAAATACATTAATAAATACTTTTCAGTATGGGATATACAGTACAACAGAACAAAGTGTATACAGATAGCAGATACTGAAATTCTGCACTGGTGTAAGCAAGACAAACTTTTCACAGCAAGTATTCCATGTATTTTTTGTTTAGTATTTTGTGTGTGTGTGTGTATTTATCTATAATGTAACTTTAAGTATATGTGAGTGTACAAGAACGTCTTTAATCCAAACACTAGAGTGGGCATATGTGTCTATAGACTCTTGAATCAGATTTTTATCTTTATACAATCTAACAAACTCTAAAATGAAACACTAAGTCAATACTCTACAAATTAAATACCCATGTGCATTACAACAGATGTTTTAACATGGCTATGAAAATTTACTTTATAGCATTATTGTGTGGAAGTATAAATTCCAAAGCATTTTAATACTAATTTAAAAAAAACTACAGCAATACATATTTCCATAATCTTACCTCCTTTTAATTGTTATACCAGGAAGCACACTGCAGTAGAACTCTCTGCCAAAATGGAAAGATCAGGCCAACATGCAGAGGCACAGGAAAAGTAAAATATTCAAGTAATTTTGTTGAACACCACTGTGATTTTTCTAAACATTATTCTTTGATTTACAGTGGAACAAACTGCCAATTGCATTAAAAAACTTCCTTATGTACAAATACCCAGGACAATCTGCAATTACCTTGATAATTTCTTAGCATGTGGTTATTTCAAATAAAAATAATGCATAGACTTTGTAGTACCTATATTATTTGCATAGATTAAAAAGATGAGGAATGGAAAGTGTTGTAAGTGCATCCTGGTTACCATGGACACATTCCATTCTGGATGTTATTTGGAGGTGCAAGTGTTAAAGCAATTCACTGCCACATTGCTTATTCTGTTGGCATTTCTTCATGAAAAAAGAGAGAAGAGGAAAGGAAGAGCAAAACCAAATCTAAACAGCAGCAACCAGACAAGGCTTCAGGTAAAAAGTCATAGGAAATTTTTAAACAAATAAAACAACCAAAATATTTAAGTGAAAATTAGCAAAAAACGAACTATTTAGTAAGTATGTATTGTCAAAATTAATCAGGACTGCAAATTACCAGAAGCATAGTTACTATTTACATAGCATGAGAAAATAATATTTGAAATTTGTCATATGGTGGTGAGCCATCTTTTAAGGATGCTGGCCTCAACCTTCCCTTAATTTAATCTATTTTGAAAGTTATATAAGTAAAGACAAGTCTCACATGACAGACTCACGTTGTCTATTGAGAAACCTCTGGGGGAAGGTCAAGACAGAAGGTGTGAATTGTGAAGCTCTGTACAAAGGCACATACAAGGAACTTCTTCCTTCCCCAATACACATTTTTAGGATTTCAAACTTCTCCAGACTCGGCTGCAGAAACTCAAAATATAATAACTCAGATTAAAGGTTATAGGGAGATTATTTTCCCCTTAAATTGTTCTCCTTTAAATAGCTAAACATTCACTGGAGAAGGAAGGTGACTGCAGAATCTAGAAAATAGTGTTGTTGAGATTCAGGAGATCTAGAGCTAAACATTTTCCTCTGTCCCAGGTGAATGGCCTAAATCCCCAGTCTTTGTTTTCACCCTTGGATTTGTCACTGCAGTCCAAGCTCTCATTTCCCTGTGCAGTGAAGGAGCCCTTGTGTCTTCTACTGAAAAAAAGTCATGTTCTCTATTAGTCTTAGTGATTTATCTCTAAATCCCTTCTCTCAGACTATTTTATCTCATATTCTATTAATTTTCCATAGATTAAAAAAAATAAATCTCTGCTTTTGGCTGGATTTTGTAGAGTGGGGGAGACCACAAAAATTTGATTTCAAAATTAGAGTATTCAAGCGCTTCTGTCCTCATTTTATCTCATTTTCTCTTGCACAATATTGTCTCATATTTGCTACAATTTCAAATGAATCTATTGGTTTTAAAACAATCCATTTTCATGTACCTTGGTATAGAAATTGCCCATTTTACCCTCACATAAATCTATACAAAATGAAAGTGGAATAAATATCAGCATACTGAAATATCTTAAAGGAGATAACTATAAAATAGATATTTCTAAAGTCATGATCTGTATACCTAAATATTTTTGAGTTAATTGGTTGCTTGAGGCCAGTATCTGCTAATCTGTTGCCTAAGAATTTGTAAAGCTAGGCACAACTTCCAAGCCATGAAGTCAAATGCCTTTGCTAGATATATATGTTCGAATTTTGAAATTAATTAGCACAGTGAAAACTACCAGCTTACCTGCTTCCTTCATCTGTCCAGTGCCTGTCAGTGTAGATGCAATTTTACTTATGAAAAAGCACCCCTGCTGGCATAGGTTTTTCTACTCTAACATAGCCACAGCTAATTGAGAAATTGATATTATGGTAATTTTTTTTTACTTTATAGCAAAGTTTTTCACACAGTTGCAGCTACATCCACATTACAGCTTTGACTGTGTAAGGAATAAAGGAAAATTTGAGTTGGACAGCAGAAACCTTTAGGCTTAGACAAAGCTATGCTCATTTTGCAAGCAAACGAAGCTCTGGCTTCTAGGTCACTTCAGAAAAGGGAAATTAGGTACCTTACAATTTTACTCACTTTTCACCAAGAAGAGGCAATTATGTATTGTGTCTAAGGTATGGAGTCAGGTAGCACTGCCAAGGCAGAGGTCTTTGTGAAAGAACTAAAGTAAAATGTTAAATCACTTCAGGCAGAGCGAGACTCTGCTCACGTGGTGACACTGAGGCACTAAAGCAGGGCTGCTTTGATCCCTGGGGGATAAGCTGGGCAGAACAGTAACACACATGGGCATTGTTTCATGGAAGGCTACAATGGCACATTGTGATTAACTTAAAAGCAAGAATGCAGATCTTGTGGAACTGAAGAATCTGTTAAGTCTCCTTTTTTCCTCCTGTCTTCAAACCCAGTTAGATTCTTGGTAAGGAAAATATTTGACTGGCCAAAGGAGATTATTTTGAGAGTCTTGATTGGGTTAATATGCAAGAATGTGAACACTAGGAAATGCAGCCTGGCAGAAGGGACTACACTGGTTTTGGCGGGGGGTGGTGGTGGTGTGTACCTCAAAACTGCTGACAGGTTTTGTCCTGTTTCCTTGGAAAAGAAGGTAAAATGGTCGCAGTTAATGAAGCCTTCATTTATTTAGGGTTCCCAGAAGTCTCTGAAGGACAACTTTATAGGAGTAAGCACAAAAAATGAAACACATCTGAGTGCAATAGTGCAAGAGTCCACCAAACTGAAATTAAACTAAAGCCATGCCCCGGTGCCATTCCTTATTTCAGGCATGAACAATATGAAATTAAATAGGTACCAGTTGCTGCCCGCTATGTCTGTGAAATTGGATGCATTTTGTTCTTCTGGCAATTTATTACCTTTCTTTCCAAATCTAAGGTAGGGCTTTCAATGTCCCTAATTCATTTGACAATTGATACGAAAGTCTGTCCTTGCATTTGCTGTAGTACAGGAAATGATACAAATTACTATTTTGTCTACACTGATAGGTTTACATTGCTACAGGATAATAGTTTTCTTTTGATGTGCACTCGTGAGAAGCAAAAATAGGTCTCTTTGGCATTTATTAGACATAGTCCATTTTTCATCTTTCTAAGGGATGTCCGTTTCAGATATGCCAGAGTCTGAAGTGTAAAACCTATTAAGCTGTGCTAAATAAACTGTTCTCCAAGGAAAAAAAACATTCTCTCAGACCAGTGTGTACTTGGAAGTTTGTAGGGCCACAACAGTCATCATGCAAACCCTCCCTGCCCTATGTCTGCTTTGGTTTTGGAGAAAAAAAATTACTATTAATAAATAGCAAGAGATTAAAACAATTTAGTTAGCAAGCAAAAATACAACAGTGACTGTAGCAGAGTACAGCTGTAAAGACAATGGCATATGGAAAGAAAGATGACTTTCTGGTGTCAAGGCAAACTGTTTTGTGAGTTGCCATTAACAAATATTTCAAGTGCATGAAGAAGAAAAGAAATATCTCAATTTCAAAATTTCATATGGAGCAACTATGAAGTTGCTAATTTTCCCCCACTTCACTCATACTCTGAAGCATCAACCCACTTAAGGGATTAGCTCTGTGTGCATGTGTGCATGATTACCAAAGGCTTCCACTTAAAGCATCTGAAAAACATATTAGTAAAATACAGGAGGAAGATGGAGTAAAAGCTTGGAAAAAAAATAACTGTCTTTTCCTTTGGGGAATGCAGTAGTTATGTTTGAGCACAAAATCTGCTGCCTTGCCATGGCCTCCTCCCTTTTCTCAGTTACATACCTGGTTTATTCCTATTTTACTATCTTTCCTCATTGGTTTTCCTAGACTTTGCAGGTGGGAGAAGGAATACATAAAAAGTCAAGAAAATAAGAAAAAAAAAGTAGCTCAAGCTGTTTCTCACAGCTGCCAACAGCACAGGTGCTTTGGAAGGTAACATCTACCTTTATACAGACTTGTGCACAGATCAGAGAGACAGCACAAGAGCGAGAGACAATGCAGAAAGGAGGGGATGTGCTGAGGGGAAAGCAACACTATCAGAGGGAATAAAATATTACTCTTGAGGATCAGAGTCTTCAATTATGAGCATGATACTTGCCATTTATTAATGTGATTAAATAGGCAGACCTAGATAAGACTGCCACAAAGAGATTATTCCACTACTTAACAGAACAAAGGATGCAAGCTAAGTGCAAGGCATAACATTCCTTTCTAGATGGATAACACACTGACAGGTTTCACTTAAAATCATTTCTTTTAGTTTTGTCCTCCTTAATTCAGTTTCAAGGTCTTCTTGTTACAATTTCAGGTCTAGTCTGTGCTTTAAATTTCTTCTGCTTTGTTTTTGGGTGGTCTTTTTTTTGTTTGGTTGGTTAGGTTTTTTGTGGGTTTTTTTGTGTGTGGTTTTTTCCTCTTTCTTAGAGTAAAGAACCCAATCAACAGAACAGAACAGTCAGACTCCCCGCTATGTGCTCAAAAAGTCCTCAAGTGCAGCTGTGCAAAGTAATTTTTAGGGAATCTGCACCTCTTTTAGCAGGGTATGTACACATAACTGGCAATCCTTTTTATTACAGATGAAGTCTTAGTTCAATCATCCCACTGCTCCCTTCTTGGATGCTTCTTATCCTCCTGATTTGTATACATCTGCAACCAGTCTAATCTAATATCTGCTGAAAACTGTTTTCCTGTATTCTTATGTGGGCATCTCACTTCCAGCACTGACACCCCTCACTCTAAATTTGGAGGAACACCTAGTGCAGTGGCCCCTAAAATCTCATCACATTTTTTAAGAACAGACTAACACTATCAGAGTGTTTTCCAAAGTTCCCTTTCTGTCTATTTACAGCTTTAATTCCACCTCAGATTGAAAGACAGGAGCACTAAAGAATCCATCACACTGTGCAGGCATTCTGATATACTTGATTCCTGCCTATGTCTCCAGTTTGCAGAAAAAGCTGTGTTAACAAGTATGTCCTATTTCTCAACCAGTCCTCAGCTCAGTACTACAGGTAGCATACTCTCTGAAAAGCTGGTTGACTTTTTTCCTGTTTCTTCAAATACTAGGTTTTTTTAGTCCAATTTTAATTACTTGTTTTACATGAAACTTAACATTTGTTACCTTTAGGTTTCAGTCTCATTGTAAACTGCAGAGGTGGGAACAATTGCACAGTTCAGCTGTAGCACCACCTTAGTGAATGCTGAAATCTATCCTTTCATTATCATTTGTCATGATAATTTGATGTGCACATATATTAAAAACATACATTGCCTTTTCTGTCACAAGTATCTGCTTGCTTTTTTGATGCTTTCCAGCTACACAGCTCCTCTTGCCTGCAATCCCCATCTGTTGTCATTCCTTTCACTCTATTGTTCACTATCATCCTATTATGTTATTTAGAACTCTGGCTTCAGACACTCTCTTACGCTTCTGCAGTATTATTTTGCCTTTTTCAACAAATCATTTTGATCATTTTACTGTGCACTACTGTTTGTTCTTCTAGTTCCCACCCTCCTCCAGATAATTTGTGTAATTTAGGTTTCAGCCAACAAATGACATTTACACTGGTTGCACCCAGTGCACAATTTTAATCTAATTTAGTGAAGTCCATCCAAAAGCTGCAGGCACTTTTACTTTGGTTTAATTTAGGCTTATTTCTGTTTAACACAAATTGATTTAGTTTATACTCAATCAAAATCAAGCAAATCTTTACAATAAGAATCCATAGAGCAGTTTAGACCAGCAAGTTTGTTTAAAAAAAACAGTTTTTAAATTACACTAGTGCATCTTTAGATAAGACCTGCCCACACTGAGCTAAAAATCCTGATTTTTTCTAGCTTTGCCTTCCACCTTTCTTGCCTTCTTCCTTTGAACACTTTACTGATTGCATTTAATTGACTTTTGGTAAATGAACAAAGTGTAAATATATGGTATGCCTAGTCAAGTAAATATCCCTGAAAGTTCTTCATCATGAATGCTACTGTGCATATGGAAAATGAAATAAGGTAAATTGCTCTGGGTTAATAAAGGCAACAGAAAAGAAGAAATAACTCTTTTCCGAACTTGAAGCAGAAAAAAGCAAAACAAGACAATAGATAAGAACACAAACTTACCTTTGGCAACACAAAAGTAGAATTACTCCTGAAGAATCGCAAGAGAGAGAACAACATGGACAAGGATGTACTACCTAAAGTAAGGCAAGTGAAAAATATAACTAAATCTTTCTCTGGAAGAAGCACTGACAATAATGAACATGTGAGCAACATTTGGGTACAGCAGGAAATGTTGACTTAATTAAGCAGAAGGTAGTTGTGATTGCTTACCTTGAGAAACTATTATACCTTCATGACCTGGAAATCATCCTTGGCAGGTAGGACTACATCAAGCATAATACTTTTGAAGAAAGCCACAAACATTAAAATCATACATAAAACTTAAAATGGGAGCTTAAACATTGCAATTCTGCGTGTCACTGCTGTCTGTATATTAAAGACTAGTTATGAGGAGACAAAACCCAGCTGACACAAAAGAAAAAAATACATCTCTAGGCCACCAGTGATACAGAAAAACCAGAGTAATAGCAAACAATGGTAACAGAGAATTAACTAAGATTACTTTATCATCTTTAACATACCTTAATTGAAATTGATACAAGAATATTCCACTGCATCTTCAAAGGACAGGTCAACTACTACAGAAAGAATTTTATAAGCCCACACAACAGTACAGAGTTATCATAGGCTCACAAACAACTGAACTTTACAAGTAATAACTACTTAAGGACTCAGAACCAGTTATATTTCTAATTTCAAATCATAAATAAATGTTTCACAGAGTTTCACACAGTTTAGTAAAGTTTGTGGGGGAAAAAAAACCCAAAAGAACCACCCCTCAAAAAAGAGAGAACTGAGTCTTCTGGAAAGGAAAAAGCTCACCACTGACTGCTGTTATGTGATGCTTCTGTAGAGAAATCTTGATCCGCCAGTAAGGAAAGCCCTGGAATGCCAGCACTGCTAGGGCTACACATCAGAAATTGCATTTCAGTTGTTAAAAGCCCATATGTCAGTTGGGTTCTTGTGCTGGATTACATCTTCAATTTGCAGCATGACTAAAGTATTCCCAAATCTTCCCCAAAACATTATGGATAAGACCTAGTGACTGCATACATCCAGAGGTGGTGCTTCATGGAAGAAGTGAGAGGTACTAAGAGGCATCCGAACTATAACACAACATCACAACAGATTTTAGCTTTGCACAGAAATACCTGACAACAGTATTCATATCTTTCCAACACAGCATTAGTTCCCCAGAGAAACTGTCTCCATTTTCCAAGCAGCTCTACTGTTTCCTTCGATGTCTGAATTAGAGACAGCAAAAAAGCAAAGGAGATTTCCCTATGTATTTTAGGATTAACAAACATTCTGCTGATAATAATTGCTTAATAGTGTGTGATACCATTACCATGAAAGTGTTTGACTGTTTTGGAAATACACTTTTTAAGCACAAAAGAACATTTTCTGAGCTGGGACAAAATGGCTTCTTTCTGAGCTCATCAAACTATGCTTGAAAGGTTTCTAATTTAAGACAACAACAAGTTCCTAGTTTTATGCAATTTAAGTCCTCCATACAGATAGTTCATAACAAAAATATAATTTTTTAAACGCCCTCTAGAAAAATTTCTGTGCTGTTTTTGTTTGTTAAGAACAAATTCTTGCTTTGAAAAGTCAAAGAAGAGACTTAAATAGAATTGGTCCAGATAGGCAATAATTGGTATGGCATCCTCCAGGTTTCAAATGCAAATAAAATAGCAGAATTTTGAAAAAGGTTCATCTCCCACAGATCTTTACTTAAAATAAGACATCTTTCAAAAACATTGTTTTGTATAACATGAAATTAATTTCAGCTCAATTACTATTATAACATCTGTTAATTCCCCCCCCTCCAATCCATCTGGCTTAAGCACTTCAAATGGCATCTCCTGTCAGTCAAATAGGTTACATATCAAATGTCATCATTAAGACTTAAAAACAAGGCCAGCATTCAATAGTTAACTTTAGAATACCTTTTTTCCCAAATGGAGGAGCTATCCTTGCAGGTTTAATAAAACCCAAAGGTACTCACAACTGAAAATCAACCAGCCCACAATCATTACAATAATCACTTATTATTATGTCTCCTAAAATTGAAATTTTATTGAAAATGATAATTCGTAAGTGTTTTTTTTTTCATGTGTGGTTTGTTGGTTTTTGTTTGGGTTTTGTTGTTGTGTTTTTTTTTAATTTAGTACTTACAGGGATTAGACATAGAATTGAGTTGTTTATTGAGAAAGGATTTTAAAAAAAAATTCTTAAAGATTTTAGTGCTGTAGGTTCAGAATTTTTACTTAAAACTAAAAAGCCAGAAAACAACTTTATTTTTTCAATTAAAACAGTTAATTGTAAGGTCTTTTAAGAAAATACTGTAGTTCTCAGTACCCAAAATAACATGCTGTGTTCAGAATGTATTGATTTAATCAGAAACTGATTGAAGATGTAGAGGCGAACACTAAACAATAGGAGCAATGAGGGGTAAAGAACAAGAACATCCATCAGAACTGTTTGCCTGGTTACTTGCACTGTTTGCTCATCTACATGGCCTGTATATATTTGCTAGAGAATGCAGTTGCTGAGCTCTGACCAAACATACAATTCTGCAGTTGCATATTTGACAAAGTTCAGCCATCCTGACTGTTGTGTGAGCAGCCCCTGTGTGGAATATTGCACACAATGCCGGTGCTGTTGTGTACGTGTCAGTCCTGCCTTTTACAGGGAAGTAGCTCCACATTTTACTAACATGACAAAATCCTCTGATTAGTGCAGCATTCATTAAATGGTGACAGATGCTGGTATTAATTACATGTTGAGTGGATCATTTTCCCATTACGTTTCTTTTGTTACCAGCCTCATCATTCTAGTTATCAGCCTGCCCTATAAGCAGATTAAGCACCAGACTTTTTTTGGGGGGGAGTGGGGGATGTGTGTCTACATTCCTTGTTTGACCAAAATGAGTGACCCATCTTTTCTACACTACCCCACCATCTGGATTCCTCTCACTGCACTTTTCAAAACCTGTACTTATCATCTGTTAGAAAATTTATAAGAAATTTTATTTTAAAGAGTTATTTGTGTGGCTCTTTTAAGCCATCTTACATTTAGTGTTGGAGGCCATATGATTTATCACTTGCTTTGTACAAACAGATAACATCTATTGTTTGTGATAAACCCTGCCAAATTATAACTGGCATATCAAATATTAATTTGGCATTTCAAGAGTGAAAAACACGTACAGTGAAAGATAATGGAAAGGCATACGTGACACAAATTGCCATCCCTCATGTCAGTCTTGAGAAAAGACTTCCCAGTCTATGTAATATTACATGCACTCACACAAAACAAAAGCTATTCACTGTTCCCATGAATTCTAGCAGGATTCCTAGTACAGGATTCCTTTATGGCCAAGCATGTTTTTCTATTTAGTATGTTTATCCTGACATGTACACCATGTACACCAGCTTCTCCTTCACAACAACTCAGAGCAGTCTGGGGGCCCTTCACCATCTTTGTTGCCCCCCTTTGGACACTCTCCAATAGCTTATTATCTTTCTTATGTTGTGGTGCCCAAAACTGCCACAATATTGCAGGTGAGGCTGCCCCAGTGCAGAGCAGAGCGGGACAATCCTCTCCCTCACCCGGCTGGCGATGCTTTGCCTGATGCCCCCAGGACACGGTTGGCCCTCCTGGCTGCCAGGGCACTGCTGACTCACATTCAACTTGCCATCGACCAGGACCCCCAGGTCCCTTTCCTGGCACTGCTTTCCAGCATCTCATTCCCCAGTCTGTCCGTACATCCAGGGGTGCCCTATCCCAGGTGCAGAATTCAGCACTTTCCCTTGTTGGACTTCACATGGTTGGTGATTGCCCAGCCCTCTAATTTGTGGAGGTCTCCCTGCAGTGCCTTCGAGGGAGTCAACAGCTCCTCCCAGTTTTGTGGCATCTGCAAACTTGCTCAGTATCCCCTGGAGACCTGTGTCCAAGTCATTTATGAAGAGATTGAAGAGCACTGGGCCTAAGAAGGAGCCTCGAAGAACCACACTATTATACACACACATATACAGCATTGTTACCTACACACGAGACATCTAAACAGAAGAAGCTGTAAATTAGTCTGCATAACTGCCTTTCTAACCATCAGAGAAGTGATGGTCTGGAGCAATTGTTCTGTGTGAAAAACCCTCACTACCTTTGAAACATCAAATCCCATTTATGCTATGAAGATCTATTATGTGGCTGAACGAAACAGCAGGCACTAGGACTTGATGACCTGGAGTCGTCTTTTTGAGTCTTATATTTCTGCAGTGGAACTGGCAGATGCCCACACAGGGGAAATATGTTCAGTAGTTTCTCTACATTTGTGAGATTATGATTGCTGACTTGAAATAGCTACTTGAAAAAAAAATTATTTTCACTGATGGCTCAAAAAGATTTCTCCTTTTACACAATCCAGCTGGTTGAACTGTATTCCATGAATGCTCATTTATGCATCTGCACCTATGTAGTCTCCTTTTGGAAAAGTTATTTGCAATGAGTTACAGGACTCCCCCTTCTTCTTACTCTTCCTCCTTGAAGCAGCCCATGCAGAAACTAGTGTGCCCCTGTAGTGTCACATTCTAGGTTCTCTGTTTGTCTGTCTTGTCCTCTTTATTTGACTATTGTCCTATACTTAGCTTCAGCAAACTTAGTGTATACTTAACTCTACTCTCAGAGACATTCTTTATGTTCATTTACAGTACTTCCTGTTAACTTATTTTTAGTTATACAGCATGTTGGGCCTACTGTAGTGACTCGAGGCAGGCACAGCAGACTTCAAAAATGCCTTCTGGAGAACATCCTCAACCTATCAGGTTGCAGGACAGAAGAAGGATGTTAATTCCCTTGAACAGGGGAAAAAGCTACACAAAAGCCACAGATATTTCACATGACTCATTTGAACACAAAAGTCTGCTGCCATGGACTTGTTTTTACCCCTCTGATATGGCCTCTTTGTCCAATTAAATTTCTTGCCCTAAGCCATTCTTAAGATATCCTGTATTTGTACAGGATTTCTGGCTCTATGACAGCTGGACTTGATGGTCAGTTAATAGCTGGAAATCCTGGCAATGACCACAGGTACAAACACTCTGGAGCTGTATAAGACATGCCCAGTAGATTGATAACTTCATCCTGAAGGAGCTGAATTTACTGCTCAGGTAAAGCTCAAGTAGACCATTCAAAGTAGGGCAACACTTACAGAAATATGGAAGCCTTCATTCAAATCCAGTATGCAGCCACAAACTCCCTTTTTGTTTTTAAAGAAAACCAAGAGACAGTTCTGAAGCCACTTACTTTGAAGAATGGGACTATTCAAAGCAGCAAGTTTCAGTGTCCAGGTAACTGTGTGCAAGATTGGAGGCACAGACTGTGAGGTCTTTCAGGCAATTACCTTCAGACAATATAGTGATATATTCAAATACATATGTTCACTGCACCATACTCAAATGATCTTATCCTCATAAAAATCAAAGCTGAATTTTTCCAATAATCTAAACCAGTTATTTTTCAATGACACCAAGTTTCTAGTAAGGCTTTGTACAATAAACATTTGCAGAACAATTTTAACTTCCTTACACTGACAGTTATGTTAACTGACTGGTTTGTTTTCAGGATATATTTGGGCAACTGAAAACCCAAGAATAGATATCTGAAGTGTTTGACAGGAAACAGATATGAGAATCAAAACACTGAAGACTGCAATAATAAAAAGGGACATCTTACTTTTATTATCTGAGTGCAAAAATGAATGGTAAATACCCCATAACACTGAATTACATATTCCATGAACAAGCAGGGCACTGATAGGATTCCCATGGGGTCAATGGGACAGGCCCATTACAAGACTTCAGCTGTTCAAAAGCATACATTTCCCAGTCATTGTGCAGCAATTTTTCCCTGAAATAAAATACGTTCGTTATTTTGGTTTACTTTATGAAAACAAACCAAAAAACTTCCTTCTAGTTTTAAAATACAATGGTGTTTTTTGTTCTGGTGAGACATTTTAAAAACTTTCTCAGAAAAATTTTTGAAATTTTACAGCTTCTAAATCAGTATGTCCAGCCAGACACAAGCATTTGTGTTCATCTCTCATGCATATAAAGTCAACTAAGTAAAAAATGTAACAAAAATTATAGAATATTTGCAGTTTTATTTCATAACCTTATAAACTCATAACGAGATCTGTTAAATCTCATTTGTTTACTGTTCAGTATTCCTCATTGATGATTCCTATTAGAGTATTCTGAAAAATATTCATAAACCACATTTTGTAGCATATTTTAAAAAAAAAAAGTTCAAAAAACTCTTCCAGGATATTTAACATTGCTTTTCTCCCTGTTTGGAAAACCAGTTACGTACAGAGGCGTTAGGCAGGATACGCAAACATCTTCAGGTACCATGTGGAAAATATATATAGCCTTCCCATTCCCAGATGTGCAATTTAATTTTATATTCCTAGAACGACACCCCCCACCTTAATCTAGTTATTCTGAGAGTGCAGCTAGACTTATCTTAGGAGGAATATTGTGACATTACTTAAGGATTTGTTACTTATTCACTTTAAATGTTAATACTTCATTTACTTGTGAGGCATTTCTGAGCGTAGACTTAGATCTATTTTAAGGCTACGAGATCACAGAAGATACGTCTTTGCAAGGCTATTAACTCACCATTTTGAAGGATTTTTATTTCCCCCTTTCCTCTGGTCCTCACCCAGAGCCCCTTCCCAGGTAGAAGGAATCTCCCATATACGGAGGCTCCTCGTCTAGACCCACTTTCACCAAAGCTTGAAAATAACCCTTTTTGTACCCAACCCTTACCTGCTGCCCAGCTACTCACCGACACCACATCCCCGGGCCGCGGCCCAGCGTTCCCAGCCCTCAGGAGGCCCGGCCTGCAGCACTTACTGGAGGCGCCTCCCGGCTCGCTTCCCGGCGTTAACAGGCGACCCCCGTCCTGCCCAGGCAAGGAGCTCCTTGCTCAAGCACAAGCCCTCGCTAAAGCCGCTGATGCCTCAGGAGCCGGGGACAGGCCCCGGTCGCCTTCCTTCTTTCCCGGGCGGAGGAAGGAGCAGCAGCTCCGCGCGGCTCCGCCGCCGCCATTTTGGACGCCGGCGGGCGGTCCCCATGGCAACCAGGAAGGGGCGGACATCGCGCGGGGTCACGGCGGGCCCGGCCCCCTCTTAAAGGAGCAGCCCCGGCGGCGCCGCGGTGCCGGGCAGGGTCCGACCCCCGCCGCCGGTGCCAGCGCAGACCCGCGGCCCCGCCGCCCCCCGCCCGCCCCGAGGGCGGACATTCTCGCGGACCCGGGGTGACGACCCCGGCGGAGGGATACCGGCCGCCGACAGCGGCCCCGCCGAGCGCACCGAGCGGGCCGCGGTCCGGGCCGCGGCGGGGGCTGCGCGGGGAGCGGCAGCCGGGGCAGGGGCCGCCCGCCGGCCCGGGGGGCGCGCGGGCCCCGGCGGGGCCCCGGCGCCGGGAGAAAGTAGTCCCGCGGCCTCCCCCTCGCGCCGCTGGAAGGGGTTCGGCGGCGGAGGCGGCGGACGAGGCGCCGCTCGGTGCTGCGGCTTCAGCTGATAATTGAAGGGAAGCGAGGCGGCTGCTGCCGGGAGGAGGGAGGCACGGAGCGTCTGCGGAGGCCGCACCGGGACAAACTAGGTACCCGGGGCCCCGCCGCTCGGTCAGGGGGCGCCGCGGGGGCGGGCACGGGGCGGTGGGGCGCTCGCTGGGCCCCTCGGCAGCCTCCGGGCAGGGCCTGTTGTGTCATCCCCGGCATTAGCCGAGCTGCCCTTCCTGGCGGCCCGGGGCAGGGGGAGGGGAGCGGCGCCATCCCGGAGCATTGTTGCAGATGGGGGGGGGGAGCGAGGGGGAGCTGGGAACGACACGGCGCCGCGCTGGTGAGTGTGTGTGGGGCGGCCCGGAGGGGGGGAGTGGGGCCCTCGCCGCCGAGGGAAGGGGTGGAAACGCAGCTGACAAAATGGCCAAGCAGTGCCCGGGCCCGCTGCGGGGACAGCCCTCGCCCCTCGGCTCTCCCGGGCCGCCCGGCGGGGGGGGCAGCGCGGCCGCCCCTCCGCGGGCCTTGTGTGGCTGCTGATACAAAAGGGCAGTGTCAGTGTTGACACTGCCGTGCCGATTTCGATGCCCTTCCCCGTCTTCCTTCCCCCACTCCGCTGGGCCCCATTTCCCCCAATGGCCCTTTCTCCTCCCCCCCCCCTTTTTATTTTTTCCCCTAAAGGAGCTATCGAATATCTTAAAGGAAAAAACAGCAATTCCTCTTTCTTTCGTCCCTGCCCGGCTCGATAAAAATGCCAAATAATCGGCCGACGTCCATATTTCACAAGGTTTTTGGGGGGGGAGGAAGAAGGTGGGCAGAGAACAGAGGCGCCCGTGGGGTCGGAGCCCCAGGGCTGGCTGCCCACGAGGGGGGTTATTTTCGCAGCCAAATGTTTTAGGCGATGTTTTTCTTGTTTTCAGTCGAGAAGCAAGTTGCCTGGTCCTTGGCGTTTGCTTGCATAATGCGTCGTACTTGGAGGCTGATCAAACGCTGGGTTCTGCCTTTCCTGCCTGGCTCTTCCTCCTTCCCCTTTCCCGGGGGGCTGGGCAGGGGGCCAGGTTGTGGGGTGCTGGTGGCGGGGGGGGTCCCGGCGGTGCCCCCGGGATCCGGGGCTGGGAGAGGATCCGAGGCCAGGGCTCTCGACAGACCTGCAGGCCCGTCTTCCTGTGTCCAACTTTTTTATTGTTCCCCCTTCCCCTTTCCGAGTGCACGGGCTCTCCGGCGGCCGGGGGTTCGCACGGCTCGGCAGTCCCGAAGTCTAGACGGGCAACCGGAAAATAATAGGGGAAAGAATGGAAAGTTATGTCAAGGGCTTTGAGGGAAAAACATCGACGTATCGAACAAAGGTCCTGCCTGTGTTGGGGAGAGAGGCCTGCATGTGAGGCCTGATTGTGTCGCATTTACACACGGGGAAGAAATGAGTGCTTGGTACTGGCCTAAATTTATTCTGTAAGTCTGGCGTGCAACTTAAGAACGTTTTTAGAGAGTGTGCAGTTTGTTTTGGGAGTGTTTTTATTATGTGTAGCAATCCAATAATAATTTTTATTTGGAATACTTTTTTTTTCCCCCCAAAAGACTGTTCAGTTTTTTTTTTTTTTTATTTCCTGCCTTGTTCAGCAGAAATAATATTGATACAGAGCTTCTAACAGCGTAACGCAAAACTTTGCTCAAACAGGGTGACTTTCACAGTTAATGTATTGTGTGTATTATGAATATTGAGCTTCCTGGTGCTTTAAAGGTTGTCAGAAAGAGGAGTTAAGTAGTTGCCACCTGATAAATTTGAATTACATCTATGATAATGAGGAAGAAGAGGAATTCTGAACACTTAAATTAATTTTACAGGATTTTCTTAGGGATGCTGTCACTGTGGATGTACTTTTGTAAAAGTTTAAAAGCTAACAAACGTTGCTGTGATTACTTCTGGTTATCTCTTGTATAGTCTTTTCTTTCCAGTTCTTTCTCTTCTCTCCCACTCCTAAGACTAGAGTTCTAATTGTACAGCGTTGGTTTTTTCTTTTTTTTTTTTTTTTATTTGATTTCTGCAATTGCTGTGATTTATTAAGTTTTTCATTAAACTAAAAGTTTTTGAACATTTTATTTTACATACATATATAAAAATGTGCATAATGGACATGAAAGCAGTGCTTGAAAAATAACTGTATAGCTTTCTATTGTTTGGTAGCCTGTTTAATAAATACTGATAGGAATTGAATGTATTTATGAAAATATTAGTATTCCAGTTTTTGCAGCTGATGTCAATATTATGTTTAAGTTTAAAAAGTGTTCTGATGAGTAAATTCTGTAAATAATACTTCAAGTTTCCAGAAATATATGTTTTTAACTGGTAATAGTTTCTATATTTGTAAAATGTAGCTGATTGTGAATGGCCCAGTTCTGCATATATACTGATTTTGGTCTTAAATGGAAAGGTATTTTTAGTTTTTTATTGTTTGGTGTATTCTATTGTGTTAGAAATATAGGTAATCAGATTTTTTTTTTCCCCATTCCTAGGATATTTCCGCAAAAAAATGTGAGTAGTAAACTTGAATTAACAACTTTTAAGTCTTCAGTCTCCAGATGGTTCCATAGGTAGTAACATAAACATTTCTTATCTGTTAGTAGAAAAACTGTAGGTCACCCACAGTGTGACATTACTACTTATTAATATAGCAGATCTACTTTAGTAGGAGGGCTGACCTGTTGAATAAAGCTTATGAAAATGGAGTCTTTTGATGTCTTGCAAAAGTTCATCAGGCCAGAGTGACCATTAGGGAATCAACCTGCATCTTCCCAGTAAATGAATAATCAGAACTGTCATTCCCAATCAGGAATCACGCACAATTTTTTTAAATTTTCTTTTTTTATATTGGGTTTTAACTGTTTGTTTTCAAAACTGGAATGTAAATATTACAGAAAAAAAAATTGTAATGAGAACTTGTACTTATAACATCATTCGTAAATTTGAGGCCTGCAGCCTACAGGCAACAAGGACACTATTTCTCCTGAAGAAGTGTAGTAAAAACAATGTATTTGGTTTTAATGCCATGAATGGAGACATGATGAGTTTTTGTGGGGGTCCTTCACCATTGATAAGTACAGGTATTTACTCCACGACAGTCCAGAAACATAACCTAAGTTCCTTTTGTTTCTGAGTAATGAAGCTGAAGCATAAGTAGGAAAGTTACTGTTTGACTAAACTACATGTTTGTACTTAATTTGCAGCGTAAGTGAATCTCAGAACTATCTGTGTTAATCTTATATTTATAGGCCATGCTATATTTTCTAACAAGCTAATTAGTAAGCAGCATGTAGAACACTTCTGATCATGAGTCTGTCTTTTGTCACACTGAAGCTAAATTATTGTGACAAGGTATAATCAAATCCCCAAGTTGTACACCACGGTGTACTACTGCATTGTCAAAAACATAACCCATCTCCCGTTGGCCTGATGAGCAGTGTCCTGTTCATCACCTGTCAAATTAGTAACCCTCCCTGTAAAGCACTTTGTGGGCTCTGACACTCTTCATCAAGCTGTCACTGCCCCATTCGTTACTGACTCTGAAGATAGGAGTACATCGTGTTGTTTGGGCTTTTTTTTTTTTTTTTTTTAAGAGTAGCAGATTACTTTTGGGTCAGTAGGTTTATTTTTCTGAAGAAGTAATACTTACTTTGAATTTGCTCATAATATTTTAATCTATATATAGTATCATAACAGATTTATGGCAGTATATGAAGCAACCTCTTCCCAAGTGTTTTCATAACTCACTTTTAACTTGGGGTATGTGGTTGATAACAGCAAAACAAAGCCACATTAACTCTTTTTTTTTCCTCCTGATGCATTTTTTTTTTCCAATTTACATGAAATGAAGTGCCTTTCGAGGAGCAAAACTATTTTCAGACTTCACACTGGTGATCAGTAATGACAAAAATGCTTGTATGTAGCTGCTTGTTTCAGGATGTCTTTTTTTTTTAACAAAATGCTGAATTCATGCTTTAAAGTTAATCAGTCTTCCATAAATAAAGACATTCTAACTACATGTCAAGTGTACAGTCTGTGTGACAGGCAGGGCTAAGTCAACTGGCTTCTCCACTGCCTGCTTTCAGATACCAGCAATGGCTGCTTTTTTTCAGAGTTTAGTTTTGAGGAGCAATTGTCCTCCTAATCCTGCCATCAAGTTGGTAGAATCTGACTGTGTAAATATGCAGTCATATTCTCCTCCAGTTCTGTCTGGCAGCCGAGGTTGGAGCACTCAGAACCAATCTGTTTGCTCTCACTGTCTATAATAAGGCTCCTCTTGCAATGTACTGACTGTTGCCAGTCTTACTTGACTCATGAGTGTGCTCAGTGCAAATATGGCAGGAAACTGCCATGTAAGAGCAGTAGAGAGACAACTCTGGGAGTGAAGGCTTTTATGTAGGAAAAATGGAAGAGTTAGGTGTATAATAAAAGAATTAATCATGGTGATCTAATACTGGACTTTATATTGAAGATGCAGTTGTCATGCATGAACAATGGTGTTCAAGCCATAGTTGCCCTCATTTGCTCCAGAAAAGCTTCTCTTGTCAAGATTCATGTAGTAAACCAGTTTGGAAAGGACTTTGAAAGTTACTCGGCCCTTCTCCCGTTTAACTTTATCTACCCTTGAATAAAGTTTGTCATTGATCACAACTGATAAAAAGAGCTCCATTTTCTTGAGTGAGAAAGGGAGAATCCCAACAAACCTACAAAGGTATGTGTGGAGAAGAAACTGGAAGGATTCTGCAGTTGTGTGGTAATACAGTGCTGGCTCATGGAGCAGGGGGAAATCCCATTTTCTCAGTGTTTTCTGAATGGTTTGCTTTGATAGTGTCCACAGTGAAGTGCACGTACTGAACTGCAAAGATCTGACCTTCATAAAAGGTATGAAAGGGTCTGAGTCATCCTCTGGAATGTGAACCTTGAGTTG